TCTTAGAAGTATAGAGCCTGCTCTTGAAGAGTGGGAGCCGGCTCTTGGTTTCTCATAGCCGGCTCTCCCTCTTTGAGAGCCTCCTCTGTCCAGTTTTGCTCCGTTTCGACTATCAGCTTCGTCTCTGGCCATTCCCAACCTTCTGTTCATCTTAATACTGAACCGAAGAGTCCTATTTAAACCCAATAGCATCCCAATGGTTTGTTTACAGTAGTTGGAATGAAATACAGTGATAAAAACTGCTACCGATATGATTAAAAACCAAACTGGAAACCCAGATTTGCAAGAACTGAAACCACAGTTAATTCAACGCATACAGATAATTGATTAAGCATATAATAAGCATGTAAAATTTAATGACCAATTAAAACCCTAGAGACTATCTTTGGATGCACAGAACACAGACCAACGGGAGAAAGAAAGGAAAGAACTTGCCTCTGTGGTTTTTGAATAAAAACCTCTTCGCCGCCTTCTTAAGTTTTCCGATGACATCTTTCCGACAACGTCCATTCACTATCAACCTCCTTCTACTAAACCTTCCCTCCTCCTAGATTCGTCCTTTAATCCACAGCCGAAACCCTAACGGAACATCAGCTGGTTTCCTCATAATCTCTCTCTCTGTTTTCTCTCTAAAAACTCTCTGTAACATAAACCCTTGTATACGTGAATAGGGTCTGTGTTTATTTTCAAAACCTTAAGACGACTTAATGTTGTATCTATATAGGCTTAAAGAAAACCTAATTCTAATTTTGAGAGGAGACGGGAAAAAATAAAATTATACTAAGTCGGCTAACTCGTGAGACTAAACGAAACCCTAAAATTATAATATTCATTAAATAATAATTAATTCTAATTTAATTATTAATAATTCCTAATAATTAAACTAACCCAAAAATACATATATCCCCATAAATACATGTATCTCCATTCATGGGTAAAAACTGTATCCATTTACATCAAGTCACATATCCTATAATTTCAAATAAACAAACCATGACAGTTAAACAAATAATTAAGTTACCATTAATGAACATCTACAAAAGCATATAATTTAATTTAAGACACATAAATCACATAAACCAAATAATTAAACAATGAATTTATTTAAACATAAAAACAAGAAGCCACATAATCATGTAAGCACCTAACATGCACCAAAAAATAAAAATTAATTCCAATTGTATCCTTTACAAAATTAAGGGCATTACATCGCTCTCCCTCAGTTCATTTGCGGGATCAGAGGAGCTCCGCTTGTGCGAGATCAGAGGAGATCCGCTTATGCGAGATCAGAGGAGATCCGTTTGTTGCTAGATTTGTCGGGGATATGATTTAACCCTTTTGACTTCCTCAAATTGTGCCAAGGTTATCCTAACCCTGTTGAACTATGTCATCTTTCATTATCTTTAAGAATAAAATATTATCATTCTTATCCAATTAAAATATCATCATTCGAAAGTCGAAGAGGTCTGGCGGCTGGTCAACACTTAGTTGCCTTTATAGTTAGGTCAAGGTAGGTTAGGTTTATTTTTCCCTATCAGTTGCCCCCCATTTCCAAACTTGCTCATCTAAGTTTGGGAATGTGAAATATATATATATCCCTGGGCACTATTCGGGAACAGTGCCCGTGGGTACTGTTCACTTGAACAGTAAACTTTTTTTTTTTTTTACCCTGGGCAATGTTTCCTCGGGAACAGTTCCCGCGGGTATTGTTCACTTGATCAGTAAAGTTTTTTTTTTAGTACCCTTGGGTACTCTTCCCTTAGGTAATGTTCCCGTGGGTACTCTACCCTTGGGTAATCTTTCCTTGGGTACTATTCCCTTGGGTAATGTTTCCGTGGGTACCCTTCCTTTGGGTCCTCTTCCTTTGGATAATTTTTCCTTGGGTATTGTTCCCTTGGGTAATCTTCCCATGGGTACTCGTCCCTTGGGTAATGTTCTTTGGGTACTCTTCCCAGTGGTGGAATTAATACAGATACCAAATCAATGTTCTTTTTTGGAAGGGTATGGATTCAAACCCACGGTCAATGATTCTTAGTGATGTAAAACTGGATTTTTCTTTTAAAAATCCAATATACTAGTTGTAAACTTCATGGGTTTCAGTCAGCCCATCCCTTTGGCAAAGGAATAAATTTTATGAGTTTCACTCAGCTTGTCATTCCTTTAATAAGGAAACGAGCTTCACTCACCTCGTCCCTTTAGTAAGAGAATTAAATTTTACGAGTTTCACTCAGCTCGTCCCTTTAGTAAGGGAATTAAGTTTTACGAGTTTCACTCAGCTCGTCCCTTTAGTAAAGGAATTAGATTTTTGTCAAGCGTCGAGAATGCCAAGTCCTACTGAGCTAAGCATGCGTGATGATTACTTTCTTGCCCCTTTTAATAAAGGAAGTAGATTTGTTCGAGCGTGTGAGCTCACCTTTTAATAAGGGAGTAGTTAACCCTTTGTCTCTTTACCGAGGGAAGAAGATGAAGTTGACATTTCGTTCCTTTATGGGGGAAAGATGTGTAGTCTGAAGGAGGGTGGCACCTTTAATACGAGAGGTAGTCGTCTCATCTCTCTAGTAAATGAAGGAAGTTGTAATTATCTCATCCTTCTGTGCAGAAGGAGTAGTCGGCTCTTTGTCCCTTTAATAAGGGAAGAATGTGTTGTTGGCCCTTGGTCCCTTTAATGAGAAAACCTTTAATAAGGTGTAGTCGACCTCTCGTCCCTTTAATAAGATAAGTAGATTACTATGAGCTTAAGATTGCCACATAGATAGGTAACTGAAAACATAATATTTTATTGCGTAAAAATTGAGGGTCATCTATCTTATTGGTGATGGTGACTTTATTGGAAAACAAAATGACAAGTGAGGGAGCTACCTTCCATTTAAAATGATGAACTGAGATGCCCCCAGTCTTTATTTTGAATGACTTGATAAGGCTAATTCCAACTGTGAGACAATTGTTAGTCAGTATACTTATCTGAGTCTTCCTCACGATATGTCCTATCGCTTTGGCTGAAGAATAATCTCTTATAGCTGGTATCATTTTCATCCTTGGTGAGAGGGGATGACCTCTTCTTATCTTCTCCTTCCTTTCCCTTCCGTGCATTCATAGCGTTTTCAGCGTTCATGTGTTTCTGCGCTCTGATCAACAACTCTGGCATACTGGTGGAAAGTTCTTTAGATAAGGCGAACAAGAATATGGAGATTTGAAGTCCTCCTATGAAAGCGGTCAAAACCACCTTGTCATCCACCTTTTCTACCTGCAACATCTCTGTGTTGAATCGGGTGATGTATTCCCGAATCAACTCTCCCTTCTGTTGCTTCACGGTAAGCAGGTAGGTGGCTGGCCTCCTATGCCTCTGACCTGCAATGAAGTGGCTCACAAATTGCTTACTCAATTCTTCAAAGGTGTTGATGGTTTCTGGCTTTAGCTTGTTGAACCAAACTCTTGCCGATCCTTTAAGTGTAGTGGGAAAAGCTTGGCACATGATTTCATCTGGCACGGCGTGTAAATACATAAGAGCTTAAAAGGTCTCCAGGTGAACGAGGGGATCTTTGGTCCCATTGAAGCTTTCAAACGAGGGCATCCTGAACTTGCTAGGCAGGGGGCATTTCATAATGGCGGGGTTGAACGGTAAGTTAGTCCTCTGCACCAGGTCATCTATGGCGGCAGGACCTTTCCCTTTCATAGCCTGCGTTACATCTTCCATTTTTGCCTTGAGATCCTCTATCTGTAGGTTGAAATAGGTAACTTTCTTTGTCTTTTCCTTAACACAGAAGGTTGTGCCTGTTTGAGACTGGGGATTCCACGGAAGCGGGGAAGGAAGTTCTCTGTTTCGGTTTCCGACTTGGCTTTGTTCTACCTCGAACTTGTGAGAAAGATTGTTTTCTCGGTCCTCCTCATGTTGTCCACCATCATTTAGATTATGCCAAGATTATCCTTACCCTGTTAAACCACATCATCTTTCATTATCCATAAGAATGAAATATTATCATTCTTATCCAATGAAAATATCATCATTCGGAAGTCGAAGAGGTCTGGCGACTGATCAACACTTAGTTGCCTCTATCGTTAGGTTAAGTTAGGTTAGGTTTATTTTTCCCTATCACAAACTAAATATGAGTTCTATGGATTCATGGAATCTTGAAATAATAAAAGCGTGTGGTGGGTTAAATTTAAAGGGTTACACCATAAAATTACAAAGTTGTAATTTAGTGTCATCATTTTTACCTTCCCAAAATAGAATTAGAGGTTCAATTATTTACTAGAGAAAAAGTTTAATGAATATTAATACTCGTATTTAGATATTTATAGTTATGGAATTTTGCATAACAGTTATTAGGCGAATTATCTTAAATGACCAATTGGATTTTTGTTGAATTTTAAAAGCAAAGCAACAACTCAATTTAGGAAACAAATTAAGTATCTGATTTATCTTCAATTAGATTATCAATTTAGTGAAAATTTCTTTTAAATAGGTAAATATTACACCCACTTTTTGCCTATGCTCGGATATTAACCCCTTATCTCCTTTGCGAGAATAGGAATTGGAACCTCCCTTCCTCTTTTACGAAGACAAAAATGTTATACGAATCAAATGCTTAGACCCTGTTTGATTGGAGAGTAAAGGAAGAGAAAGAAAAGAAAGATAATGTAAGGAAATGAAATACTGTGTTTGGTATAATTTTTTAAAGCAAAAGAAAGTGATACAAATTAGGCTGAAACCGTCAAAATATAAACCGCAGAGGACCATACAATGACCAGAGATTCTTGATTCTACAAGAAAACCCTCAAAAGAGGTGGCTTCCTTCTCTCATGAAGAAGATTCCAAAAAACTTCACATGGTACCTCACAAGAATTGGAATTATATAACATAAAAATAGAAAGTAAAAGTATAAAAAATATCTTACCCTAAGAAAGTCGGTCAGTCAATACCGTGAATTGATTGCGACCGAGAGGGCCACCTTCTTCCAAAACTCTCTTTCTCCTTCCTACATATATGAGAATGCTTCTCAATTCTTCTTGTAACAACTACTTCTTCTTCTTCTCCAACCTTTTTCAACGTAAGTTTGTTATGCTTTGACAATTTAGGGATCTGAGATTCAAGAAAGAACTCTCTTCTTTGATTGACCCTTTCTTTGAATTCCATAAGCTTATCAGTACCTTTATCTGGTTTTTATCGTTCTCTTCATCACAGATCAGTTGTTTGCTCCGTTGTCTTCAACTAGATTGAGGTGGGTTTTTTTTTTAATTAGTCTTCACTTTATATTGATTTTTTTAGCTCCTCGGAGCTCCAACATATTTGTATGCATATACATATATATCTCATATATAGATATATAATCGATTATTAGATATTGGTTTCGAAAGATTCCACAAAAGGCGTACTAAAATTAATATGGATTTCTCTTGTTTATGTTTCCGAAGTTGTTTGATTAGTGTATATTGCATTTGGATGTCAAGTGGCATATTTATTTATTTATTTTTTTTTTTTTTTCCCGGTCTATTTCCCATTGTAATCTCCACCCTTTACTGTATTCAATGGAAAGCCTTATCTTCAGATATTGGGTCTTCTTGTTCTGATCTATTCACTCATTGTATATTGATCAGGTTGGTTCTTGAAGTGGAGGAATATCCATTTCTATGGTGAGTCCATTTTTAAATTTATGACTTTATATTGAAATGAAACAGAATTACAAAACAATGTGAACTTTGACGCAGTGGAATTGGAAAAGATGTCCTAAATTTGGATCAAAATGGTTACTTTGTTGTGTTTTGATCTGTATTGTTTTGTGGTTACTAGGGGGAAGCTCCAGCTTTCTTCGAAGAAGATTTGCAGGGGGATTTTTCGGATGGGTTTGATTTAAAATCCAAGGGATTGGAGACGGCTACCGTTGTCGGTGATAAAATAGTATGATCATTGAATATACTGATTTGATATTGTCCTACAATGTCTTTTTTGATATGTAGTGATTAATCAAGAAATTGTACATCCCATTGAAAATTCGATGTGTATGTGTTTGCATGCGTGTCTTGAATCAGTATGTAATTGGTGGGACCGATGACGAATCAACATCAACAATTGACGTTCGGATTTTATACAAATCTACGGGTGAATGGTGAGTTTTAAACTCTAGCCATGGGAGTGAGTTGCACTTGGATGTCAATTTAGAACTAGGATTACTGACTTCCGGTCAAATTTGCAGGGTCATTCCCACTGTGTTGGGAACAAAACCAAAGCTGTCTAAGGGCCATTCGGCTGTTCTTTTAAATGAAGACCGAATATTGATTGTTAAGGGGGATTCCACTCCTGATGATTGCGTTTGGTCTCTTGAGGTTTGTATTTTGAGGATCTTAACTTTGAAGATTAAAAATGGAAGTATTTAGTTTCTTCTATATGTTATTGGATTGCTTCTCAATTATGCAGTTCTAACTTTGATCTAGTGACCTACTTATTTTTGTTCATCGAACTTTAAGATATGTCGTCTTAATGTTCAGGTGGACACAAAATTTGTTAGAGAGCACAATAATAATTTTGAAACTGAGGTGGTTGCTTGGAGTAGAGGAGTTAAAGGTGATGTTGAGAAGCCCATTGTTATCAGTGGTCCTTCTGGAGTGGGTAAGGGAACATTGATATCCGAACTCATGAAGGAATTCCCGTCCATGTTTGGATTTTCTGTTAGCCATACAACACGTGGCCCGAGGGACAAAGAGAAGGATGGAGTCCATTACCATTTCACTGAGCGAAGTCTAATGGAGAAAGATATAAAAGATGGAAAGTTTCTTGAATTTGCCTCTGTTCATGGAAATCTATATGGAACCAGTGCTGAAGCTGTTGAGGTGGTTGCAGATGCAGGAAAGGTATATACTTTACATTTTACCTACTTTCTTTTTTCAAATAAAAAATAATTAAATTTCTGGTATTAATGATTTAAATGTTGGGACACAGATGTGTTTTCAGCTTTTCACACTGTCCAAAATCATCCCCTTTTGAATGGATCCAACTAGAATTCCGTTGAGGTGGTTCAGTTTAACAATCCAATAGATCTAAACAAGAGGCATCTTTTTCCTTTTGTGTGTGTGTGTGTGTGTGTTGAACATGCAATGTCTCAAAAATGAAGGACTAGACTTAGTTGATAGTTGTGGGAATAGAATTCACTAGGTGGGTTTCAGTTTTGTAGCACGGATCAAAGGTGTGGAATGCCAAAAACCAAGGGAACTGCTGCACTTCTCTATGTCATATTTCCTTTCTTCAAAGTTGAAATGGTTGGTTTGGTTTTGATGTAGAGATGCATACTTGACATTGATGTTCAAGGCGCAAGGTCTGTGAGGGCTAGTCCTCTTGAAGCCGTTTTCATCTTCATCTGTCCACCCTCGTTTGAGGAACTTGAGAAGCGCCTTCGTGCAAGGTTAGCTAAAGCAATACATTTGAACAATCTCACTCTTGTACTCCCCTTCAATTGGTAACATATCTTTCTATTTTGTATAACAGGGGGACTGAGACAGAAGAACAGATCCAAAAGCGACTCCGAAATGCTAAGGCAGAGCTTGAACAGGGACAATCACCTGGCCTTTTTGATCATATCTTAGTAAATGATGACCTCGATACCTGCTATAAGAATCTCAAGGTTGTTCTTGCTCCTTATTGGCATCCATTCATACATTCATCTTATTTTTATTTTATTTTTTCATTTTCCTACAGCCGGATAATCCAACCTTCCATTCATATTATATTCATCTTATAAGAATCTCCCTTTTGATGTAGAAACTTTTGTGTCTTGATGGAAGCAGCGGCATTACCACCCCTAAATCATGTAAGGACTAAGGAGCCCTGAGCCGATTTGCCTACCTTTGCTTTTGATTTTTCTGTTATGGGTTTTGACATGAGAAGTAATGAAAGTTTTAAAATGTGAATACAGTGCCAAAAATGTTCGTTCTGCCTCTGGACAATTCAATATCAAAAATTGATCAGAAAATCCTTATGAACTGCGGAACAGCAAAAATTGAGAAAGCATCACAACTCATGTAAGTTTCAGAGTTATCATTTGCTAGCGGCTACTTAATTGTTAGTAGTATAAGTTGTATTCCTCATATCACTCCTGTGGATCAAGCAGGTTTGTGCTGGATGTATCTTCCCTCAAAGGAGGGGCGCCAGGGCGGACACGGGGGCTAAATTTTTATGCCATAGACCCTTTTGCAGATGGCTTAAATGGAATCAGACAGCTTAGCTGACGACTGATTACTCTAGGTCCTCAGTACTAACTTGGTTTATCAGTTTTGAATTTTCTCTTTTTTCGTAACTGGAAGTAAGGAGGGTGAAATTATAGGTATGATCATTTTACGTGCCCAACATTCTTTATTTGAGAACAGAGATGATTTGGACAGTTGCTTCCCGATAGACGTGAAATGACCGATGGTTATGATTTGCATGGCGAATGCAGCTATTTAGATCAAGCCCTGTGGGTGTTAGACTTCTAGTTCATGAAGAATCAAACGAAACAAGAGGAATAGCTTTATGGTTCTGGATATTATGATGGGAATTTTTATTTCAGTTGGTTTATGTTTGTTAAAGGGGGGGCCAATGTTCAGTGAAATTTAAGTGATTTTAAAGGTTTTTTTTTGTTTTTTTGTTTTTTTTTGTGTAACAAAGGTGATTCTGAAGTCTATATTTAATTTATGGCTTTATGCTTTTTAACATATTATTGATGGAGTTGAATTTAGGTAATAGCTATATTATTCATTGTTTCTCCTTGTCAGCTCTGCTAAGCTTCTAAGAATGACTAGTTTCTATAATAATTTTTTGTAGTAGCATAATAGTTTAAGCTTGAATTCAGAATTTTTGAAAATTAATATTGGTTTTGGGTTTGATAACTTTGATTTGTTCAATATTTTGCAAATGATTTTCTGTTTTTAAAAAATTCCAAATTTTTATTTTGTTGATTGGCATGTTTGGTTACCTGGGGTAGGAGGGCATATGTATACATGTGAAACTGCCAAAACTGTAACATATGAAAAAAGAAAAGGAGATAAAGGGTCACATTGCTTTTGACAACCCTACTCCTTGTTCACCACAAACATTTCTAGAAAGGTACGGGAGCATCCTAAACAATTTTGGAACCATTCCCTAAAAAATCTCGTGACATGATGCTTTCTCGTATTTTAAAATAAAATTTTGAAAAGAGTGACACACAGGTTTATTTCGTAATGGTGGTCACTGGTCATAAAATGTAGTTTGGAAGTTATGGATGAATGAAGAGTGGATTAGTGAGAGTGGGTGGGCTGGTCATGACCGACCTAATTTTGTGGGCAAGTGGAGGATAGAGAAACAGTCGCCAGCATAACCAAAAAGGAACCAATTTTATATTTGAGTGTTGAAGAATTGTGTTCCCACCACCCACAATTCCCACCATCCAAACGTAAATGTTTTTTAAATTTTCGGAAATTATTATAAGGTATATGTTCTCATAACCAACATGTACAAGACCCATTGTATATCTTTTGATTTTAGATGCTCCACGGTAAACCCCCACTCCTCCTGAAAATTAGATATGGTTCCCACATGTTTGAAGAACTATGCATACCGACATTGCGCGAGTGCAAACAACTATGTTACATAGACATAACACCAACATGCGCGAATCACCTACAGTGAGGTTTCCATACAGTTTCTTGCTGTAACTTTTAAGTGGTCCATATTTAGTCACATTATTCTTCAACTAACGAACACTAAGGCCGTGTTTGGCCAATTACATCACTATTTATAAGTAACATTTCACCACCATATATAAGTAACATCACATAGTCTAAAAAGTAATATCACATATAAGTATAACTCAGTGCAACATATCATTTATGTTATTATTTGAAATTAAAAGTGGTGACAAAAGTCTAAAAGTAATATCACATAATCTAAAAAGTAACATCACCACGTTTTGAGGGTGAAAGATACTTATAAATGGTGGTGATGTTACTTTTTAAACTATGTGATATTATGTTTAGATTTCTGTGACATTACTTTAAAATAGTGATAAAATGTTACTTATAAATAGTGGTGCAATTGTCAAATACCGTATTAATATTTATTAAGTGGAGTAAAACGTAATCAAATCAAGACCACTTATTACTCACCGTAGGAAGCTGCATGGAAATTGCACAGGTGATTTGCACCCCGAACGAGGAGGAGAGTGAGTGCCTAGCTTAGACGACCCCTCGGTCCGATGACCCCAACTTGGATGGGAACAAAAATTGGCTGGCAAAGGAAATGAATGCTAATAAGGGTGGGTGGGACCCTGGTTGGCTCGGTTACATCACACAACCAACATGGTTTGAATTGTTCCACATAATGCGCCAAACTCTGCTGGCATGAGTTGGTTTATGTGTGAAAGGAACTAAGATGTACTCAGTTCGGAAGTTTCCATCAATTTTCCTTGGGCGGTCATTTACTTTACTTTGAAATCAGATCGGCAGCAGCCGCAGAATGCAAGTGGATGTGTTGGTTTTTTCCTTGAATGCAAGTGGGTGTTCGAAAAGTCGTTTGTCAGCTCCACTGGACCCCTACACTCTCACATGCAACGGACTACACAACCTATAAGGTCCACTAACTTATTACTTATTCCTTTTTCTTTTTGGGAAAGTTCCACTAACTTATTCTGAGGCTTGTTTGGTGTACTAAAATTCTATCAGGCCAAATGGTATTATATCCCGTTTAATTAATGATATATCTCACAAAAATATTGTGATATTCGGCTTCACATAATAATATTTTGGTAATGTACATTACTAATGAGAGGAGACAAAATTACAGTTTCGCCAGAGAGGATTTTGTCCACGTGGTAGTGTCTTTAGGGTTACTTTCAAGTCTAGCCTATCTAAGCTTAGCAAAGATTGTTGGTTGTGAATTGTGATTGGCTGAAACTATGTGAATATTATTTTTCTGATGTTCCTACTTTTCCCCAATTAATTAAATTATTATTGGAGTTCAAGCTCAAGTTTAAATTAGTAAGTATATATTGAGTGTGAACTAAACTACGATATTCACCAGCTCAAACTCAATTGGTTTGAGAATAAAACTTGAAAAAGTCATTATCACAGTTACATTTTTATCAACATGATTATGATTTCAACTTATTTACCTATGGGAGGTAATTAGCCCAACGGTATATACTTTCTGTCCTTATTTTTCTGTTCGACATGAAAGAAAAAAAATTAAATGGATGGGACATCATTAGGGAAGTGATTATATATTCCCTTCTTTTTGTTCGGTTTGATAAAAGAGAAAAGAAGAAACTCATAATTTAGGTTAGGAGAGAAGGAAAATGAAAGTTTTAATTATTTTTACCATTATATTCAATAATATTTATAATATTGTAATTTATAGATCATAGTATTATAATTTAAAATTTGTATAAATGTTGATATTATTTAATTAAAACTTCTATAATAGTCTACTTGTCTTCTTCCCTTATTTTTTTCGCCCATTTTTAGGTGAATTAAAATTTGTAAAGGAGGAAAGATGGATCACTTTTCCTATTCTTCTTTCTCATTTCTCTACTGAAAAAAGAAAATTTGTCCCTTTGCTTCTTATTTTCTTTCTACATCTCTTCTTTCCATCCAAAAAAATAAGGGGAAGAGATTCGAGTACGGGCAATATATAGCGATCTCCAATATATTGTTTGAGTTTGAATTATTTGCTTAACAAGCAAATGCAAATCAAACTTTTGTCAAATCAAGCCTAAATTATTCATTGACGATTAGCTCATTTGTAACCAAAGTATCATAAACTATGTAGTAGAAATTAACTTGAAGTTCAGAAGAAACTGATGGATTGGGAATTGCTAAGCCGAATAACTTTGATAAAGTAGAACTGCTCAAATTGAAGTCACATTGATTTGGCCAAAAATGTACTTCTTTAACCCAAAAAAAAAAAAAAAAAAAACAGAAAAGAAAAGAAAAGGGACCACGGATTGCTTTTACAAAACGTTTGGGCTTTGTGATAGGGGTCTGTTAATTTCAATTTACCAGCAAAAAAAATTTACTAAAGGACCTGTGAAACTTTCACGAAAGGCCCAGGTGCAATTCAAAAAAACCAACTTTGGATCCAGAAGAAACTTTCAGATGAGGCCGAACTTGATTTATGTTCGATTTAATGGGCCGAAACTGCAGTTCACCAGGCCTATGTTTTTGCTGATCCGATTCTGAGACACAACTTATAACTGGGCCTACTCAGGCCCATTAGGTCCTGTAATTGGTTTTGAAGAAAATCTGTGGTACCTTCAGCTTCAGGATGATTTTAATGACCTTAAACCAGTCCCCAGATTGTGCCTTTGCAGTCTTCCGATGAGAGAAATGTTGTTTGAACATAGCCCAGTCAGGTAAAGCCAACTAGACATTCTGAAGAAGGTTAGGTCATCTGAATGTTATTCACAAAAGCATATCCAAATTAAATTGTGCTTAAATCTATATGCAGTCTTTCAGATTAAATAGGAGTACAACTCAAAAATATGAAAAGACTTGGGGAATACCACCCAAAAACTGCTCATATCGTTCCTTTCACTATCACACACACACACTTAAATTTGCATATGTATATGCTTGAAAGGGTGCTTCCAGATCTTACATAACAGACTCATCCTGGTGAATCTTTTTCAAATTTTCTATAATATATACCATGGCGGCAATTACGCGGAAACAGCAGATTTTTCTACAGATTCGTCCATTTAAATATGGAGCAGAGTTCAAATGCACATTCTAATAAAATTGTTGCAATTACAAATTAAGTTCAGATACATACATCCATCATCAAAACAACAAATTCCTCACAATGGCGCAAACACCCATACTTGTTGGGAACAAACAATGGCATGCCAATCTCAGAAGAGTATGTGTCAAAATGTCATAACCATGCATTGCAACAAGAATTTAAGTTGCTTCTACCTTGCAGTTAGCTCTACTATACAAAAGGAGATGGAAAGGAAGATAGAATCAAATAAATGAAATTAATCCTAATGTTTTGCTTGAGTTCTACATTTCTGTGTCTGATTCTTCCTCTGGAGGACTGCGGGAAACGAAAGGAGGTGGTGGAGGATCAACAGTCAAAGTTCCCTCCAACACCTTTATCACCTCCCCCATTGAAGGCCTCATTCGATTGTCAGCTTGCAAACACCAAAAAGCAATTCTCAATAGACGCTCCAATTCATCCAAATTCACCCCACGTATTCTTTCATCTACAAACGTCTCAGCCTGACCTCCTGCCCACTTCTCATAAGCCAACTGGCAAACATCATTGGCTTCTCGGCACCCACTTACCAACACTAACACCATCTTGCCGAAATCTCCTACATCCATCTCGGCTGCTCCACCAGTGTAGGATGCCTCACCACAAACGAGCCCTAGCCCAAATTCGCTCACCTTTGCTTCTAAGTTTTCATCCAAAACCACATTCTCACATTTCAGATTTCCGTGGCTTACAAACTCCCTACATTCTGTGTGCAAGTAAGAAATGGCCCTCGCCACGGTTATGCACATCTCCATCCTCTTTCCCCAAGTCAGTCTCTTGCACATCTTAGGATCTTCTATACAATTTCCCAGTGAGCCACTATTGGCAAATTCATAAATCAAAAATCTGTGACCGGACTCACAACAGTAACCCTCCAGCTTCACAAGGCTTTTGTGATAAATACTTCCTATCTTTGAAACTATACTTCGGAACTTCCTTTCCTCAATAGAAGTTTTCAGTTCTTTGACTGCAACTGGGCGGTTATCTGGAAGCATGCCTTTAAACATCTTTGGTCCGACCTGGTGCTTGAAATTTCCAGTGAGGTCCTTGATTTCGGGATAGGATAAAATGATCAAACAATTTGAGGTAGGACCTGTGTAAGCTAAAGCAGCTTTCTTCCTGATATAGTGTCTTCTCTTGTAGATGCAGAAGCCAATTCCAAACTGAATTACAAGAAATGCAACAAATGTACCTGAGGCCACTCCAACAAGACAAGGAACGCAAAAGTCGTTCGACTGATTTTGGGTAGTATCATTAGCAGACGATGATGGAGGCCTGGGGGAAATAGGTAAAACCGCAATCGGATCTGAGCATCTCTTAACAAATGATATTGAACTTAAAGAAGGGTCTGAGTGACCACTGATGTATTGTGTTGCCATCATTTGGCATTGTGCAGTCCCATCAGTTCTAAAGGTCACAGCAGTACAAAGTGGGTCTTCTTGGCACAAGCTTTTACATTGCTGTAAACTATGATGTGAGGTCGTTTCATTTGGTGGGTAAATTCCATACAGGAAAGTGTGCTCATATGTAATCATGGAAGAACCAGATTTGCACTCCTGTCGGTATGGAACCAAACATTGCAATTTGGACTCACCTGTAGGTGTGAAGGGGCATCTGCAAACAGGGGATCCTGATGAATTGAAAACACAAATGCCACAGAGGCCACACGTAGCAAAGATGTTGCACTGGTTCCCAACAGCTTCCCAAACCGATCTCCATGACCTTGAAGCTTCTAGCCATGAGTATAGCCGAAGATTACCATCAACATCTAGCCTAAGAAATCGGAAATTCACATTTGAATCATTGTGATCATCTCCGAACACAGACCAAACAGATTTGGATCTTTGGTCAAGAATCTGAAGGATCCCCTCAGAGTTGAATATAGCTCGGAGATTTGATTGAAAAGGGCTTTGACTAGTCCAATAAACAACATTGCTTTCCCACCTGAGTTGCAATTGACCTGACACGGCCATCTCAAGACTGTAGTAACTCGACATAGAATTCCTGCTAGCAGCTCGAAGCATTCGAGAAGCAGTGAAATTCTGGCCTGGGAGTAGTGTGTCTGATGGATTATCAAAGCTTTGCCAAACAATATCATTCTTTCTGTTCAGCAGGACAAGATTCCCATTGTCAAGCAGAACCGCCGAAGCAACAGATGAGTTGCTAGTTTCGCTTCTCCAAGCTATAACCCCCTTCATGGAATCAAACAAAACCAGTTCTCCATTTTGGGTCAGCTGGAAATAAGACTTGTTACCAACTGAAATGTCAGCTCCAGCAACCCAAACCACTGTTTGTTTATCAATTGGAATAGTTTTCGAATTGAAGCGGATCCCAACAACATACTGATCTGAATGGTAGAAGAACCCAATTGCAAAATCACCATTGGAAGAAACCCAATCATCGTTTTTCATTACAGAAATTGTTGAACCCAATGGAATTTGTGAAATGACTACTGGAAAAAGCAAAATGGCTATGGAGATACAGAGTAGGAAAGGTAAATCAAAGAGCATTCTCTCTTGTCCAAGCATTTCTGAAACTGCTTAGCGATGCAGAAAAGAAGACATAAGAGTGACAACCACTTCTAAGTTCTGCAAATCACCAAACCATGCTAAAGGTATTGAATCCCATTTCAACAATAATTAGGTTAAAACAGGGGACTAAGTTTGCAAACTTTCAAGATCAAGAAATTCTAAAGATGCTCAGAAATTCTAGTAGCAAGAAAAAAGAAGACACTGAAGACTTAAATCGTAATGGCAATCAGTACATATAACCACATTTCCATGATTATTAGGTAAAAGCAGTTGAAAATCCAAAATCAAGCAATGTATTTATATATATGTAAATGTAGAAACAATTGAAGTTGAAGAAAGTGACGTTGAGAGTTTGGTACCCGCAAAGACAATCAAAGGCCCAATAATTCAAGACACCGGGATTGAATACCACCATGGGCAATACCTAGAAATGCTGGTTTTGGCCTCCAAACCTATAAGAAAAATGAGCACACGAGCTACAAATGAAGAATTGACCAATGGTGATTGAACTAAAGAAAGTATGACCTAAACAACAAATTCAAAGCAGGACAACGCCGAGCTGACTGCAAATAAACAAAATGAATACACACAGATATACACACGCACACATAATGACTTGATTGGGCTCTGGTTTGAAAATTCAGGCACAAATGGGACCCAAAATTTAGGTCAATATGATGAGAAATTGGGTATATGTAATCACTTTAAAAGCTCAAAAGTGACATTTTTAGGAAATTGTTTACCGTCCAAAATGAATTGAGACTATAAAAAATAAGGTCATACATAACACATTCATCTGTATTTATATATATATAAATAGGTGGAAACTCAGTGAAGAGATAAAGAAATGAAAACCCTAGACTGAAGAAGTAAGTAAAAGAGTGGCATTTGAAGATCAACCCAGGTTGAATAGTTGAGGTATAAAGCCACAAAGACGTAACTCACCAGAAAAAGAGTATGGTTAGAAACCCATTGTAGATTTGAACGCAATGTCGCCGGAAAAGTTGACGAAAAGTGGCCAGAGAGAAAAATGCCCTGCCAGAAAGTCTGTGAATGAGAAAGAGACTCTATTGACAGGAGGGCTGGTCAGAGAGAGGTCTGAGTTTTTTTGTTTTGTTTTTCAACTTTTTCTTAATGTTTAATGACAAATATTTTTTAATAGATTTTTTCAGTCAACTTTGGGATGTGAGATTTAGACTAGACATGTAGGACTTTTCACAGTGGGTTGAGAATGTGACAAGAATAGCCCTTAGGATTGGGCATAATTACGAATTTACATTTGAAGTTGGGTTCAGAATTTGCATGAGATATATATGTACCACAATTTATATATTTGTACATGTATGTATGTTTGTTTGTTTGTTGTGATTTGTGATTTCAACGTCTAGTCTGACCTTCACATGTGATTTTCCACCTCCCAACATAAAACTTTTAAGTTGTACTATTCTCCATCGAGTCCATAAGTTATAAGTAAATATCGTACAATAAAATTAGTCTTGATTTGAATGAGTGTAAAGAGTGACCCGGAACAAATGCATCAAAGCTTTTTATCAACCTAATTTAACTTTATCTCAAAATTGTTTGACAAACAAATTATAACTTTATTTATAAGTTAGCCAGCATTTTCATTTTCATGATAACTATTTTGAAACAAGTTTATTAAGACTATGATGACATTTTTAATTTCACGACTAAATTTTTTCTTGTCAAATCTTGATTTCAGCTTGAGTTTGGATTGAGAAATATTTCAAAATTTTTACTAAGAAAAATAGATTCAAAGTAAGATCACTAACTTATGTGACATATTATAGGAATGAATAACATCAATGCTCCAAAACTCATAGGATTTGCTCAAAGAATATCTAGGAAATTTTTTCTTCTATATAAAACGATATTTTTAAATAAAAAAAAAAAAAAAAACACACACACACTCTCACACACAAAATAATAATAATAATAAGCTTATGATTCAACATATCAACCCAATGCGCCTTTCAGAAAACGAATCGAGAGGTACTTAATTTGGTTTTGATTTTAAGCATCTTCTAGGGCTTAGGCAAGCTAGCTGAAGCACCAAAAGAAGTGGTTGGTCACTTGCTTTCAACGTTTATTATCACACTTTTTAACATATAAAGAAAAAAAAAAGTAATAATAATAATAAAAATAAATAAAAGTCCAAGCTGTCCTAGTGGAAGTCTTGCTTAATATGATTAACAAAAGAAGGAAGCACGTACAATTAAAGAGCATAGAGAAAAGAGGTAGGTAGGAGATTCTTTTTACTTTTCCTACTTTACAAGGGATTAGATATATGTGTATAGATAAAGTAGCTGGTAAAGAAAGAAATAAAATGGGCCATGCGGCGCATCATGCAGACAATATCCTAATTTCATAATTATCTTGGGCCCAGAAAACAACATGACGTTCGATGACAATATATAAAAAAATCCTCCTGCTGTATGAAGGAAATAAGAGGCTTGGAGAACAAAAATATGAAGGATGGGAAGAATTTTCTTATATAAAAAAAGAAAAGAGTGTAGAAAGGGTCCATCTTACTCTTTTATAAAATTTTTATTTTTTAAAAAATAGACGGAAGAAATAAAAAAAGACGAGTGAACTATTATAAAAATTTTAAATTAAATATTATCTTAAATTATAATGTCATTCTTTATAAATTATACTCGTAATATTACAAATATTATTGAATATAATGATAAAAATAATAAAAAAAAATTTCGAATAAAAAAAAAGAAATGCATAATCTCTTCTCTCTCATTCATTATTTCTTCTCCTCCCTTCCATCTAATTTTTTTCTTTTCTTTATTTATTTAGACATAAAAATATTAATTAATAAATTATTTTTATTAAATTTTAATATTTAATTTCTTCATAAACATAGCCTAAATGATTCCTCTACCTTACACGTGAACTCACCATATATAAATAATTAATGTAAATTTATAAAAACGAGGGAATCCAAGGGGATCCATCAGCTTTAGCTACCGCCTACTCTAACTACCCATCCTACTCTAACTACCCATCCTACTTTTGGCCTCTGTTTCCCTGATTATTAACGCATTTTTGTTTTAGAATAGTCTGTTTTTTCCCTGTGGCATGCTTACTTGGCCATAACGAGTTGGCACAGTAAATATTGGTGATGAGAATGAATTCAATAATTCACGTATAGATAAGCAAGTAATAACCAAATGTTTTGACAGTATCCGTAACTTTCTTTTTCTTTTTTTTCACATATATATATATATTGTCACGGGTGAATTTTTTTATTAATGTTGATGCAAGATTTCGCAATCCGGAATGATGTCATATCTAAAAAAGAAAGAGAAATGTGAACAAGGGACACCAATGTGGTACTGATTTACGAGCCTCTAACGATCAAGTCAGTACTAAATCAGAAAAGTGAAAGGAAGGTGAAATGACTCTTTTAAGGATTTGTCTCGTACATATGAGTTGCCCCACCATTGCTTTTATAAGAGGGTTAATAATAGCGTTTTAGGAAAGTAGTTCTACTTTTTCACCGCGTGGAAGAGCTATCAGAAAAAATAATGCCACTTCAAGGCATAAGAACTTCGTGTTATTAACTTAAAACATTATGAGAATAAAGAAGTCTGTTATAATGGATGGGTGCTTATCCATTTATCAAAAAGTTAAAGTTATTGGTTAATGTTACATACCCACCCATTTATACCAAATAACTTTTTCATCTGGATTTAATGTGAGACAAATGACCCTAGTTACATTCTCTCCCACCCAAATTCTCAATGCTCTTGTTGCAGTTCAGGCCACCCTACCTACCCGGGTGACAAACCCAAACGCCTTTCGAATTGGGCGCTAGACGTAACACCGGATTAAGGATTGAATCTAGTTCTGATATCCATTATAATGGGTGGACGCTTATTCATTTACTTAAAAATTAATGAACAGTGTTACATACCTATTTATTTATATCCAATTATTTTTTTATTTAATTTTGATATAAGATAAATGACTCTTATTACACCTGTTACGAGAATTGCATGGTTTTGACTTTCTGTATGAAATATGAGAACCAATATATTCTACTTTAATAATAAGACATTAGACTATTTTGCAATTTAGTGTGTGCTCTTAAATGCTGCTAGCCAATTTTGGGCTCAGATTCGGGTTCATGTTAGATACGACATGTCCGATTGCTTTCGGGGTCAACTTTGGGCTTGTCTTGTTCCCACGACAGTGCCCAAAGTGCGAGCTCAGTCTGGATTGAACTTTGGAATTCTTACGACGTATCCTAATTTGGACAGAGGCCCACGATTATTCTAACTTCTAATGACACTTTTATTGGGGCCGACTCAGACTCACAGTCTCATTCATATGGTGTAGTGAGCCCGATCCAGCTATGTAAAAAAGTTGGCGAGGCCCACAACTAATCTAAGAGTTCTTTTGTTTTTACTTCTGGCTAGTGGGCTACTTTAAAGCATAAGGAATAAAAACCTACCTACCACCAAATCAAAATTTACATATGTATACTTTCGGTGTAAGTCACTTTTTAAGTGAGAACGAAAATACATGTGAGCCGTATAATTAAGTCTTAAATAATAAAAATTTGAGTCCTAACGTAAGAGTGTGAGCGCGCTCGAAACGTAAGAGTAATACCTATTGAGAATTGTATAACTTAGTTTTGCGTTGCAATTTCGCTCCTGATTTGAAAAAATGTACTAAAAATATTTATATATATTTTAAATTATACGAAAACACCCTCAATCAGAAATTTAACAAAAAATAATGTTATAATACCCGTTTTACATTTTTACTCTTCTGAAAATGTCTAAAGGAATGTGTATACTAATAATCTCATAGTATAAAAGTGTTTTGTGAATATTAACTATATTTAGCCAACTTTTATGAATTTTCTCTCACTTTTTTTAAAAAAATTCTCTGTATATATTTATGCTAACAGTGTATTATCTCTCCCTCTTCTATTTTTTTCCGTCATAATCATAATTGTCAAATTAATGTACAATATCATATGGTATAAAAAAAAAAGTTTTTTTTATTTTATTTTTTTATAATTATAAAAAAACAATTATTTTTAATTAAATTTTAATATAGTTATCAGTTTTTATTTTTATTAAATATATAATTAAAAATACTTATTCATTATATATAAACCAACATTTAATTTTTCAAACTTTAAAATTTGCAATAAAATTTCAAATATTTTCCAATTCCTTGGTGCTCAAATATAAACATTCTTCCACCACAGCTTTTTAGCGGTAGGGGTCGAGTAAACACAGGCTAATTCTGCTCTGTTTTTTCAGCCATGGAGGAACAAATTATGATGGGGAAGTCTTCCTCTTCCTTATCATCGCCAGACTCGAATTCGATGGTTTCGACAACGGTTGGTCGAGTCTTAAACACTTTGCTCAGTGCTCGTTCCAAGAAACTCCAAGACGCCATTTCTCGTCTCGATTCCACTCCCAGATCAGGCTCACTTGGTGGTACGAGAAACAAATTTTACGCCGTTTAGGGTTTAGAGAGAATTTTTCATATTTTAGAGAGAATTTCAGAACTAGGGTTTTAGGGAGATACTCTAGATGAAAGAGCACAGTTTTTTCAAGAAGAAACCCGAAGAGCCTCAAGAATGATAGAAAAGCACACAGTATTACAAGAAAATGCATTTTACACCTAACCCTAATTGCAAAACGAGTAGTTATCAAAATACGAGGAATTTCTGAATGGAGTATTTGCTAAAGATATTTTCGTTGTATATTTTTTTTGCAGTTTCTTTGGGACAATCACTGTGGTTTCTTAACAAGTACATTAGAGACGCAGCCGAGGAGGAGTTATTGGACCAAGTTCTTGTTCCCTTTATCGAACACGTAAGAAAAAGCTGGAGTTTCTATTCTTTCCAATTTCAAGTTCATTTTTTTTGTTTTTTTGTTTTTTTTTGATTAATTTGAAGAATGGAAACAATTCTCATATACTGGAACTAACAAATCATGATAATCCTCTTAGAAGAAAATAATAGTTCAGAGTTTCAATAGGAGAACTCGCACTATGAAATTTTATCGACATGCTAGTAATATATCTATTTTTTATCGTCATTTTAAACAATATTGGATTGGATATGTGGCTTTTATATAAAATACTAAAAAATCACGGTGTTGATATTGCCTAGAATCACAAATGCCGAGAGGGGTGGGTGCACTGGTTTATTGTTGAGCAATATCATGATTACTCTTTTAGAAGGAAATAATCATTGATCGATTTGATTGGAGAACTCATATTATGATATTTTACTAACATACTAATAACATTGTTACTTGTACAAAAACACAAAAAAACTAGTAATATTGTTTTAGGCTGTAATGCTAAATGATATTGTATTAGCACATTCACTTATCAAAACACATACTCCCTCCGTCCCAAAATAGTTGTCCATCTTTCCATTTTGGGATGTCCCAAAAAACATGTCCCATTTTAAAATTGAATGTACTATTTTTTATAACATTCCTAAATTATCATTTTAACTAAATAACTGCACTAATTTGTCTTTTAGTAAGGACATATTTGAAATTTCACTCTTATCAATAAAATAAAAAACTATTAAAACTCTACTACCATAAAAAGTTGGATTCCCCATGCAGGACATGTATATTGGGACAGAGGGAGTATTGTATAAGCACATTTATTTATATTTTAGGCTTTTACATAATTACAGCTAGGACTAAGTCTCTAATATAGTTTTTTAGGGTTGATGTGGGAGCGATATTTTCTCGATGCAGCGAGACTCCCATGCCTTAATCTCAACGGCGAGATTGCATGTTTTTCAATTGACGAGGGTAGCGTGTTTAGGGTTGATCATCAGAGCACGAAGAGCCGCGAAACTGTCCTGAAATCATGCCTTGTTGGTCGCTTTGATAGAGATGTGGGAAGTATCGAGAGGATTGAGACGTGGGCGTCAAAAACTTGGAAGATTTCGTGTGGGGTGGTGGTTTCACCCTTGCCCTATCGTCTTTTTCTGTTCAGATTGCCATCAGAGGGTGAGGCACAAGGGGTCTTGTTCCCAGGAAAGAAGACATAGGGAGATGCAACCCTGTCAATCGACATTTGGTACTTTGCGGTAGGATGTTTGGCGGTGAGACCAAGAGACAGGAAAAGGAGGGTGGTGTTGTACGGCCTGCCCTTCCATCTATGGTGTCAGAAGCTGTTCGAAGCCATAGGGGATATGTGCGGTGGTTTCAGAGGCGTGGAGGCAGACGGCACGGCGGATAGAGGGAGAGTTATTATCCATGTTTCTGATGGAGGAGTGATTCCGGAGTATGTTTTCGTAGAAGATCAGTGATTGGCCTATAAGGTCGCTTTAACAAAGGAATCCACTCCATCTATCCTTCCGAAATCCAGTTTTGGCTCACAAGATGGATGCAAGGCGCCGAGTTATACTCCCTCCCTCCCGGCCGGTGGTTCAGATTCATCTCGGCCCCAAGGACAGAGATGCGTGCAACTCATTGCGTCGTCTGCAAGTGGGGAACGGGGTACCATAACAAGCATGCATGCGCCCCTCCTCTATCCTCTTTCAAATTTTCCTCGGCTTGCATGAACTAAGGATGTCCATACATGTGGTCAGGCATGTGAACGGTTGGGAAACCTTTATGCAAAGGAGGCTGCCAATGACAGGCTTGCTCTGAGTCATGGGCCTCATAGGCCCATGCCTATTGGATTAATGTCTTGGTCTGGGCTTCGGGTCCCCCAAGGGATTAAGAGGAAGGTCTAGCGAGGGCCTAACAGTTGTTTGTCCATTTCCTTACCAAATGATAAGCCCATCTTAAACGCTTTAACGAGGCCCCGTGATGGAAGTTCAGCCCAGGCCCATGTCCAGTCCTTCACACAGCGTTTCACAACTAGGGATTTTTCATCTGTAAGTAGACATTGGTCTTTGTCTGAGAAAACGAGGTGGATGAAGATGAGTGCAAGTAAGATCGGCTCGAACGCGGAAGAGATGATTTCTCAACACGATAAGTGTTGTCCTAACGCATACACAAACGGGCCATTCCTCTTTGCTCTTAATTCGTCGAATGAAAGGTGTCTTAGATCTTTACACCGGAGCTATCAGTTGTCCCGCCATGGTACTCGATGGTCCCATAACGATAAACAGAAGTGGATCGCTCGCTCTCCTGCTTTCACCAACCCAGGTACGACCTCTGTCACTTATCCTTAGAGCCTTCTTTCTGCTCCTTCTTCTTCTTCTACTCCTTCTTGTGGGGTGTTGAGGAGTGGTGGTGGTGTCGAGGATGTTTGTGCTCGTTAGATGGATGATTTTGGGCTCATTGTCCCAAGGCTTGATAGGTCAGTGATTCATGTTGTAAAGGAGTGGTCTGGAATCGAAGGAAGCTCTGATGGGGGGACGGTTTGTGTGGGACGTGATCTCCATTTCAGATTGACTGATGAGTTTGTTATGGCTTTGGTTAAAGAGTTTTGGCTTTTTGTCACTTTGAAAGGCCTTAATTGCTTGCCTCCCGAAGGATCAGAGGCGAACGATTCCCACAGTTCGACAACACATGATCCAGGTGATTCTGCTACGGATTTGCAGATGGATATGGATGTTAATGGCAAGGATAGTGAGGGGGAGGAGAACGGAGATTGGCCTCCTTTCAGCAAGAATGTTCCAGGGATTTAATTCCATGGATGGAGACGGATCACTCTGTTATGGGAATAGTGGAACCTTTGGCCGTAGTGCGACCCGAAAGTTCAGAGACGACTGCTGATTTGGGCAAGGAATGGGTGGTAGAGAATATTGGTGCCACTAGTGAACTGTTGGGTGTCACTTGTGAGGGCAAAAGTGATCAGACACTATCCATCCTTCAAGCTATTGTGGAAGGGTAAGGAATGGGTGGTAGAGAATATTGGTGCCACTAGTGAACTTGTGGGTGTCACTATTGAGGGAATCAATCAGGGTATGAAAGGGGCTCAAACCAAGAGAACTCTACTATCTTGGAAAGGGGAGTAGGAGGTCAAGAATCTCATTTCAAATGTTAACTATGAAGGGAAGGAAGGGGTGGCGAAAGAGAGGGGAAGGACTAGGAGTGGGAGGAAGGGAGGAGGGGAGATGATTTTATCTGTTTCCCAATGAAGCTACGAATTATTTCCTGGAACGTTTGAGGTCTCAACGATCTGGACAAAAGGAGGGTGGTGAAGGTTGCTTTGAGGAATTGGGTAGCCCACGTTGTCTGTTTGCAAGAGACCAAGATGGCATCAATGTCGGATGGGGTGGTTAGAAGTCTATGGGGAGGTAGGTTCGTTGAATGGGATGCGTTGAATGCCTTAGGGATCTTTGGTGGTATCTTAGTCATGTGGGATCAACGATGGCTGTCAAAGATGGACACTTGGAGGGGGAGGTTCTCTATTTCTTTTGTGTTCAAGATGGAGGAGGACAACTTCAGATGGGTTTATTCTGGGGTCTATGGACCGGTTGATGATAGTGAGAGGCCTTTCCTTTGGTAGGAGCTTAGCCACGTTCAAGGACTGTGGTCTCTTCCTTGGTGCCTGGGTGGGGATTTTAATTCTGTTAGGTCTCCGTTAGAGAGATCTACACGGGGAAGGTGGTCTTCGGAGATGTTTCAGTTTTCGGAGTTTGTTGATGGTCACTTTCTTATTGATTTGCCTTTGGAAGGGGAAGCATTTACTTGGTCTAGTTGTAGGGAGTCTGTTACTCTCTCACGGCTGGATAGGTTCTTGATTTATGGGGAGTGGGAAGAGAAATTTCCGGATGTCATTCAGGCGGCTTTAGCTAAGGTTACTTCACATCATACTCCATTGGTTTTGGATTGTGGGGGTCTGAGCTCTCGGCTTTCTCCATTTTGATTTGAGACTATGTGGCTGCGGGTGGAGAACTTCCAAGAGTCTGTCCAGTCCTGGTGGGAGGAGGCCACGGCCATCGGGTCCACTAATTTTGTGTTAGCCCGGAAACTACAGGCCTTAAAATTGAATTGAAGAGGTAGAAAAGGAGGTGTTTGGGAATCTTGAATGGAGGAAAAATAGAGTCCTTACTGAAATTTCTAAAATTGATCACCTTGAAGAGGTGGGTGGGGATGGGGATTCTCTATGCTCTAGGAGAGCAGCTTGCCAGGCGGATTTCATTGAGATTGCTTCAATGGAAAAGATTTCACGGCGTCAGAAGTCCATGGCCTTATGGCTTGAAGAGGTGGATCTTTTTCACAGGCTTGCAAATGCGCATAGAAGGAGTAATCATATTGAGCGAATCCGGGTTGATGGTCAAGAGTTGTGCAGGGAGGATGGCGTCCGTAAGGGGATTGGTTCTTTCTATCAGAGGCTCTACACTGAGCCGTTGGGATGGAGGCCTAAGCTTGATGGTATTAATTTCGATGTTATTTACTTAGAGAGATGGTCTTGAGGCCCCATTTACCGAAGAGGTGCTGAAGGCTTTGTCGAGCTGTAATGGTGACAAAGCACCGGGGCCTGACGGGTTTACTATGCGCTTTCTGATGGAAAACTGGGAGGTGGTTCGAAGGGAGGTTATGGGTACTTTTCAGGAGTTTCATTCTCATGGGGCTTTCGAGAAGTCGTTAAATGCTTATTTTATTGCCCTCATTCCCAAGAAGGGCGGTGCTACTAATATTAAGGACTTTAGGCCAATTAGCTTGGTGGACTGCATCTATAAGCTCATTCCTAAGGTTCTTGCTCTCAGGTTGAGGGATGTTTTGGATGGGGTTATCTTGGAGTCCCAAAACGCTTTTGTTGGGGGACGGCAGATCCTTGATTCCGTTCTTATCGCCGATGAATGTGTGGATTCTAGGTTGAGGAGCGTTGTCCCTGGAGTTTTATGCAAGCTCGACATTGAAAAAGCCTATGATCACGTTAATTGGAGTTTTTTGTTGTATTTGCTTCAGAGAATAGGCTTTGGAAGTAGATGGCGGACTTGGATAGAGACATGTATTTCGTCCATCAAGTTCTTTGTTCTTGTGAATGGGTTTCTTGATGGTTTCTTTGGAAGTTCTCGGGGGTTGAGACAAGTTGATCCTTTGTCGTGTTTTCTCTTTCTCATTGTTATGGAGGGCTTGAGCAGACTGATGAAGAGGGTAGAGGATTTGGGTTTTATCAAAGGCTTTAGAGTGGGTAGAGATTCAACTCATCATATGGAGATATCTTACTTGTTGTTCGCAGATGATATTTTGGTTTTTTGTGATGCTGAAGCGGCCCAATTGAGATATTTGAGGTGTATTCTTGTATGTTTTCAGGCAGTTTTTGGGCTGAAAGTTAATGTTGGCAAGGGCGTGCTTGTCCCGATTGGGGAAGTTCAGGGTATATCCTCCTTAGTCGCAGTTCTTGGGTGTGGGGTGAGCTTTTTCCCTATTCATTATTTGGGTCTGCCCTTGGGGTTTCCTCTAGAAGGGTGGGGAGTTGGGATCCTAATTGCTAGGTTTGAGAAGAGATTGGCGGGGTGGAAGAAGCAATATTTGTCGCGGGGGGGGGGGGGGGGGGGGGGGAGGTCACTCTTATAAAGAGCGCTCTCTCAAACCTTCCCACTTATTTCCTATCTATGTTCCAGATTCCGTGTTCTGTTGCTGAAAGGATCGAAAAAATTCAAAAGGATTTCCTGTGGGGTGGAAGGGGCGAAGAGTTCAAGTACCATCTTGTCAAGTGGGAGCAAATTTGCAAGCCCGTTAAGTTGGGTGGCCTGGGTATTAGGAGGCTGATCCCCTTTAATAGAGCCCTCCTAGCAAGTGGCTGTGGAGATTTGGTAGGGAACAACACTGCCCGTGGAGGAGGATTGTCTCATGTCATTACGGGGAAGAGAGAGGTGGGTGGTCTTCATACCCAATCCCTAACGCAAGAGCAATTGGCGTGTGGAAATTTATTCGGAAAGGCTGGGATGTCTTCTCTTCTCATATTAGATTCAAAGTTCGGGATGGTAGATGTGTCCGGTTTTGGGAGGATTTATGGTGCGGAGACCAACCGTTGTCTTGTTCTTTTCCCAGACTTTTTAGAATCGCTAATGATAGACATGCCTTTGTAGTTGATTGCTATCGGCTTGATAGCAGTGGGATTACATGGGATGTGCGCTTTAGGCGTTCTTTTCAGGATTGGGAGATGGATGAGGCTTGCACTCTTCTGGATATGTTGTATCAAGAGGAGGTAGGTGACATAGGTGATGATGTTCTTCTGCGTCTTTCCAACTTTGCTGGCTTTGTTTTCCCTTGGAAGACTATTTGGTGCTCTAAGGTTCCCCTTAGAGTGGCATTCTTTGTTTGGACTGCTGTTTGGGGTAAGATTTTGACATTGGATAACTTGAGGAAGAGAGGCATTATCATTGTCAACCGGTGCTGCCTATGCAAAAATGAGTCTACGGATCATCTACTCTTACACTGCCCTGTGGTGCACGATTGCTGGAATCTAATCTTCGGATTGTTCGGTATTTCTTGGGTGATGCCCCGGTCCACAAGGGGCATGATTGAAGCGTGGAGGGGATGTTTTGTGGGGGGTCATGCTCGTGATTGTTGGAAGACCATTCCACATTGTGTATGGTGGTGCATATGGAAAGAGAGGAATAACAGATTTTTTGAAGGAATGGAGGTGTCTACGGCAACTTTGAAACTTCATATCATTCGCTCCATTTTCAGTTGGGCGAAGGGGAGACATTGTTCTTCTTTAGGCGATGCTGTTGATCTCTTTGACTTATTGGGTTCATAGGTTCCTGTTTTGTTTTTGTACATGGGACTCGTTCCCTTTTTGAACGCTTTTTTAATGATTCTTTACTTATCCAAAAAAAAAAAAATAATAATAAAAATTTGGGCTTTTACATAAAATGCTAAAATCATGGCAAACGTTATAAGATATGGTATTTCAAATGCTCTCATAATACTCCCAAATGATTTAGTTATTAACGTTGCATGCCACATGGTTCATCATTTTCTTTTATTTATCATAATCTTTGTTTTGTTTTTTTGTTTTTTTTTTCTTCTCTCTCTACCAATCTCGAAACCTTGACCGAGAGTTTGAGAATTAAGACCCAAAGCCACTAGGAAAAGGTAGACCAGTATAATCTTTGTTTTTTTTAGCTAAGGATTTCATTTCACTAATTTGGTTTTTGTGAAAAGTCCGTCTGTCTGTCTCTCTCTCTCTCTCACCTTTTTTGGTACATCAGGGAAAGCAAAACTAAGAAAAAAGGAAGCATAAGGAATGCTATCTAACATGTTTTTTCCTCTGGTACCTAAAACAAAAATAGATAAAGAAGGTAGCAGGGGTGAATGGTTAACGTGAAATTTTTGTGTCTAACATGTTTTTGTTTCTTTCCTTCCTGTAATTAATGTAAAAAATTTATTGAAAGGCATCTAAATTAGATATTCAATTCCTGAAATTTTTCTTTAAAAATAGTAAATAGTCCGTTTAATTTTAGTAGTAATCTTTTTTAGATAAGGATCATTTTTAATAACTTTAAAAATATTATAAGAAAATGCAATAAAAAAGTACTTTTAAACTGTTAGAGATTTAGGGTATTTTTTGGAACATTAATGCCTTCATGCGTATTGTAGAAGATTCTTGGATCTGTGATTGGTGGTCGTTGGCTTTGATAGGCCCTTCTGTGCCTTTGTTTACTGAGTTAATGCCTTTTTAAATTTTAAACTATGAACTTTCTTACTATTATTGGATCTGCCGCCGTTGGTGATTTGCCCTTCTTACTGAGTTAATGTTTCCATTGTGATCTTGCTTGCTCTCTCTTTGTTTCATTTACTTTTGCTATATATGAGATTTGGAACTTTTCCATGGCTATACATTTGGTACGTCTTTCAAAACCTTTTTAAGCCACCTTAAAATTAATGTCATTTACCATCTCTTTCTAAAATTATGTTTCTTGTAAATTGTTTATATATATATAAATATTCTTTTCCAGTCACTCAAACTCAAGGAGTCAAAGCACAACAACCAAGTGATGATACTTCTTAATTGGATTTTTCAAGATGAATTTCTTTTTGAAGTCCTTGCAACAAATCTTGCCAGCATTTTATTGAGAAAAGATGATCGTTATATTGCACTTGGCTGGTGTACACTTGTAAGAGGTCTTGTGGAGTACGAGATAAGTATGGACCAGTCAATAACAAGTGGTAATGTGCCATTGTTTATTATTTCATATCTTTATGAGTTTTCTTTCTCTGGATGATTATTTATCTAATGGGGTCATTGAAATGTCACTCTTCCCATTCAGATTAATTGGACGCCCTTTATTAAGAATTGTGAATGGAAGATATTTTGAATGTGGCATCTATTCTAAACATTGTTTTAAACCTAGAATGGACCAATTTTTTGGTGGGATTGGATTAGGTAGCTGGTCTTTATTCCAAGTTTTACATGATTTTTTAGATCTGAAGCGGCTTCTTATATCCGTCCAATGCGGAACAGTAATGGGCTTAATTTGAAGCAGCAGCCCAAGTTTGAATTCGTCTGTTAAATGCATTGCATGAAGTTTAGATAAAACAATGTTGTTTTGCTAAAGTTTACCTTAATATCACCATTGCTTCTTCATCGTTGATAATTTTGATTATAATTTAGAGTTTCTCGTTAGTATTAAAGAGCAGTTGAATTGCAAAATTTCTTTTCTTAATGCAGGAATAAGGGAGAAGTACAGTGTTCTATTGAAGATACTTTGTTCATGTATTCCACATCTTTTATCTATTGTATATAATGGAAGGTATGTTCTTGTTTACGTCGAATTGATCGTATTGCTGCTGATTGAAAGAAGTTCGTTCTTAGTCTTTGCTTTTGTGTTTATTGCATGATTTGAATCAACTCAACTCCCCACCCACCCCCTCACCCCCCAAGACACACACACACACAAAACTGTCTGAGGTTAATTGCATAAATCCTGATTTGCCATTCTTCTCTGCTAAGGCCATAACCTTAGCTAGCCCCATATCACCATTTCTTTCCTGATTAACTCAACTAGTTGGAGTTGGTGAGAGAGCCATGCCTGATTCAGCAATTTAAGAACATCAATGCCACTGGTGCTAGTTCGAGTCCCAGAGCAGTCACTTTGTGAAACACTAAAAGTTAGCCCTGTCACCAGTTCTCCCTCCCTAGGACACCGCTGTAGCAAAGCCAGGACTGGGTAATGTCCCTTTTCCCTTTTTCATCTGGGTTGGTTACATTTAAAAGGTGTGCATTATGTTGTAATGTGGAAAAAAGAGAAACAACTCACTTTAGCATGTGACTTGGTTGATGATATGGCAAACGTCTTAATTTTAACTCTCCCTAATCTTAACTTATTGACATGTTTGCATGCATTGGTTGGAGCCAAAAAGAATTTTTTTTTTTTTTTTTTTTTTTTGCATATGATTTTAAATCAAAAGGGAAGATCTTTTTCCTGACTAATTAAGCCTTGTTCTGCACTCACAGATTGGTACACAAAACAATAATATGATTGCTAGTAAGCATTTTCCATATGATTTACATTTGGAATGGATTCTGGTTTTCCTCATTAATGAAACCTTGTTCTGCATGAGTCTTGGTGTTTAGGGAATTCGTTAGCTTAGGTTCATATACAGGACAAGGACAAGGCCAAGACAAGAGTCTCGCAGGGTTGACTTTTGACTCGGTAAAAGAATGTCGTGCATTATGAGGGATCTTCTGAATGAGAGTCTTCTCTACCTAGACGTGACATTTTTGTGAGACTATACCAAGTTGACTTGCTGTGACAATTCAAGTCAAATTCCAAGATATTCTCCCATGCTTTTATTCTTGATTGTGCTGAGTTCCTCTGATCAAAATTAATATTTTGTTTTTGTAATCTATATAATGCCGAGTATATATTTGATATGCTTCTATGCTTTAATTTCTTTTTCTTGATTGTGCCGACTGTCTTCAGATCAATATTAATATTTTGGTTTTCGAATCTATAATGCTGAGAATGTATTTGATCTGTTGATGTAGTGTGAACACTGATACCTTCATGTTGAACTCTTTAGAAAGTCATATAATATCATAGATATTGACTCTGAAATACTTTGAACTCTGTTCTACATGTTTCTTCTTACTAATGTTCGATCAGTTTACTGTAGCACTTTGCAGGGCGGATTTGAGTTGCCAACACGCCTTTCTGTGGCTGCTGCTGATTGCATTTTAGCTCTGACTGTAGCATTAACAAAAAAGGATCTAGCTTCTGATGATTCAGATAATGGGCAAAAATCTTTTAATCCAAACGCATCAAAGTTGCCTATCACCTCAGTTCCTGCTGCTTTTAGTGAGAAGAAAGTGGAAACAACTAGTAGATCTCCTGATATCTCAAATAACATGGAAATGAAATTGCTGCTTTGGAATCATCTAGATGACCTCATTATTCTTGTGCAGAGACTGACTGCTGTATGTTCTGAACTCATCTTGTATTTGTTTAATTTGAATTCTTGTTTGTATGAGGTTCTAAATTTACTATACACTTGGGGATTTGTGTGAAATTCTTGATGTCTTGCAGCAGCTTTTTCTGGATTTTTGGTCTACGGATTTGCACTACACATGAAAAAGAATTTTTAAAGTTCAAGCAAAAAAGAAAACATAACTCAGACTGCTCTCTTCATAGTTAAACAGTTAACAATATTGTTTGCCTTTCCTCTGCATATGGAGACCTGGTTTTTGCTGAACTAACTTATGATTTTATGGACCAATGTGACAAGAAATGAAGAGGGAGTAGAAATTGCACGCTTTGTTCTCGTAAATGCTTTCTGGATGTTACTGCACCTAATAATTCTTTGAAGTTTGGGGGGTAAGTATCCTTTGTGGACTAGTGGCCGTGTGAAAATTCTGGACTTTCTGTCCTAATCTTGGTTCAATCGATTTTGGTCTTCTGCCACCACTGATTTTTTATTATTACTAAGACTAAAGACACTAAAAACTGCCACGATTTGCCTCGTTTATTGTATTTGGAGAAGTGTGATTAGCACGCTTCTAAAGGATTTGAGGAATCAATGCATAACTCGAAGGTTAGTTTGTTTATTTATCATTTAGTTGGTCACCGATTGGTTAATTGCCTCCCTTGAGTCATTTTTGGATGACCTAGAAAACTTAGGTTTTTATTTTATTTTTTCTTTCATCACATTAGGTATTTTAGATATTGCTCTTGCAGACGTCGTGTTAATTGAGTTTAAGCTCCTTTTTCCAATCTTCAGGAGATTGATGCATCCCTATATAAAAAATGGTTGAGTACCATTTCTTTCCTCTGAGACATCTAGAATGTTTGTTTCTTCTATTCTATCAAGTTCTCAAATCCTTTGGTTCCACATCTTCATCATACAATCGATGGAATGTCTTGTAACTTTTCCAACCTTCTGTTGATTACTCTAGATAATTTGGACTCTCAATGGTTAGACAGCCCCAAAAAGGAGAAAAGGTTATGATGTGCCTTTTGTGATTGTTCAATGTAAAAACAGATTAAACCTTTTCATAGTGTGTTCAAGACGAGTGTTACCTTTTATAGAAATACTTCTCTATCATACTATCTTATTTTTGACATTTTATTATGTTTCAATTTTAATGAAATCCTTAATCTGAAATTAGTCTTGATTTCGCATTAGTAAATAATTATAAACGGTTGAAATTAATTATTATTATTATTTTTAAGTAAAGAATTAATTATTTTTCTTATGCCAAATAATAAGACTACATAAAATAGCATTTAAAAAAAAAAACACATTTTTCTCTGAAGGCTGAACCATTTCCTTAATACATTGGACTTGTTTTTGATGTTGAATTCTGTTACTGCTTTTTTTTTTTTTTTTTGATAAGTAAAATTTATTGAAAAATGCTCAAAAGAGGAGCGGAACCCAAGGACAAACACGAGGCCAAAAAATGCCTCAAGCCTTCACAGAGGCCAAAAAAACAACAATCTCCTCCAAAGAATGAAAATCTCTCCTAGAATCCCAACAAAAAAGGGTGGAAATAATAGAGAACTTAAGCATAGAGATATTTCTCCTGTCCATTGAATTCTGTTACTCCATGAGCTACCTGACGCTTTAATGTCTCAAATTACTTTGCAGTGGAGCAGAAAAAGCCAGTTTTTGCATGCAAAAGGATTGGAGGATGCGCTTAAGTGGCTGCAAGGGACAAAAGAGCGTTATGATTGCTTTCAGAATGAGGCAGGTCTTATTCCAGTACATGATTTCATTATTTAATAGATTGTATTTTTCTAGGTTTGTATCCGTCATCATTTGTCTGTCTGCTACATGGAGACAGGTTCACATGTGCTCAAGACTGGACTATTGCTTCTATCTTCTTGTTGGAAACATTACGGCGTGCTATTGCACTTGGAACATCGAGGATTTTCTCAGCATTACAAAGAACTATTGGACCAGTACTCGTCAGGAATTCAGGTTAAAATTAAATACTACCTGTATCATTAGATATGGGGGTGGCATTGATCTCAAGTGATTGAGAAAAGTGGAATGTTAGATGACTCTTGAGTTTGGATTTGTTCATCTCATATACCTTAGAAATATATTACGTCCTAGATGCTGGCTCCTCCTAAAGATTAGTGCATGGGTGCAATGGTAGATGCTTTAGCTATATAGTGTAACAGGTGGGTTTGGATTCTGTTGTGAAGTATAAAACATATTTGAAGATAAATTAAATGAGAAAAATACAAAGATATTATGTGGTTCAGCCACTTGGGCCTACATCCATGGCACAAAGAGCCCAAAGGGCTACATCACTTTTATTATAATCTCTCAACTCATACACAATACAATGGTGGAGGCTCCTTTATATAGGAGAATAAATGATGGGAATGGAAAGAGATATAAAATAGGAAATAACATAAATTACTAGCAGATTTTCTTCCACTGATTCCTCCATCAAATCTTCAATAGATTCTGAGTCACTGTGTGTGAATTTAGAGGTTTCATTTGTACCCCGTCCACTGCACTGGCCTTGTGTGAATCTGGACTTTACAACCAGATGATCCTGCCCTCTTAGGCTCCAAAGTGATGGTGAGGTCACACAACTTATTCTATACGGTGAATATAATGTTATGCAACTATTGTAACTTTGCCCAAGATTCTTAGCTCTTTTGTGTGCATGTGTTATTTGTCTTCCATTGACAGAGGACAAAAATCTTATGAAACCTTGTTATATAAGATTCTGAGTTTCTGATCGGCAATTTGAAGTAGTTCACTACCTGAAGTTTTAGTGTTACCAACTTTATGCTTGCTTTTAGTAGTATTTATGCCATCTGTTGCATCTTCCGTTTTATTTATTTCTGCTCGAGTTCAGTTGCTCATAATCGACATATGCAGTTTTATGCAGACAATTACACTGAAGAGAACGCAGAGAATAAAGACAGTGGAATAGAGACCATAAGATTTTTCATAAATTGCCTTTCCCTTCTATTGGGGCGTTTTGATAACAAGCAATTTGAAAGTGCAATATCAGAATATGGGTTGCAGATATCTCGTGTTCTTATATCACAGGTAGCTGGTGTTAAAATTCATGAAATTTGCTGCAGCTGTTTCCTTATTAAGCAATATAGAACAGTTTGGCAAAATATACATATGCTCATATTTGTTTATAAACCTCCAGGCACACAAACTTAAGTCAGTTTTCACATTGGATTGCCCTACTTATGGGTGTCCATGATGTCTACCTTAAAACGTGCTCTTGGGAAAACCCTAGTGTTTTTTGTGATTAGGGGGATGTTTAAAGATTGTAGTACTGTTTTCTAGAATTTTAAAGCCTTCTGGATGGTAAACGCAATGTTTTTGGCTCTTTGAGTGGGCCTCAGGGATCCTAACAATCTTGGGTTGACTTGCATGGTGATTGAAGGTGATTCTTTACTGTTGTATGTTCGGCTTACTGTGGGAGGTAACAATATTGGTTCACCATTGTGGGTTAACTTGGTTTGATATATCAGTTGGCATTTGCTATCATCAGTCTTAGAAGAAGTTAAACAACTGGTTTTTACACATCTGCGGTAGGTTGATTAGATTAAATTCTTAGCAGATGAACCACTGTGGATGTAAACACCTTTAAGAAGGATGAATAAAATTTATTCTGTTACATTTTTGAATCATACTAAAAATATATATGCTCATTTGCTTCTAGAATCTGACATTAGCATTACACTTGAAAGAGTTGTATCTATATTCATGCTAACCTCTGGGTTCTTTTGAAGCTTCGCTATGCTGATGAGGATGTTATTGATGGTGCTGTTTGCATCCTGAAGGCGATCATCTTTAAAGCAAATTATTCTTTGTCCAGGAGCAGTCTCCCTGACACTAGACAGATGGAATTTGTATTACCTTTGCTACTAAACCTTCTAGATGAATGGGATGGCACTACCAGAGCCATTGTCATGCTCATTGCAGAATATTGCTCCATGTATGAATTATGCTTTTTACTCTCTTCAATTGCATTAATTTTTTATGTTCTATCTTTGGGTTGAAACCTGGCTGCTAATCATTGGTTCTCCAGGAGCTCAGGTAGCCGGTGCCTTCAAGAAGTTCTAAAGCGTCTTTCTTCTGGAAACATTTTACAGAGGAAAAATGCTGTTGATGTCATTTCCGAACTTATCCATCTATCACCAGATTTTGTAAGTGTAATTTTGACACTTAATTGTTAGGAGACTGTTTTTAATGGCTATGGGGTTTTTATTTTAATACTTTGTGTTTAACCTGGTTGGCCATAACCAGATATATTGCAGGCAAGATATAGCAAACCACTTGCTGGAGCGGATTGGGGACGAAGAATTGATAATTCGAGCTCAAGTGTCCAATTTGATTCCAATGATGGGTTGGTTTAGATGATTTAAAATTTTTGGTTCCAAGTTTCAGCTTAGATGTTTGAAACTTATCTTGCTTATTATCTTTTGCTTCTAAATGATAACAGTTATTGAGAGAGAAGTTACAAAACACTTATTTGGGAACTTTAGTTGTTAGAAATGTGACCCTTAGTCTGTATATTAACTGAAATTTAGCCATATTGACGATGCCTGTTTTCGTAATACTTTTTGACTTGAGATGTGTGTGTTTGAGCTTGAACTCTGATTTTTCATCTTCATTCTTCATTCTATTTAATATGTTCATGGGGCAGATGGCACATTCCAGTGCATCAATGCCTGCACAGAATTCTTACATATTCTTTTGATAGTTATTCTGTAATCACTGAACTTTTGAGACTGAAATGCCATATGCTTTAGTATATATATTTTTAAAAATAGTATTTATGTATTTCATATGAACATCAGTTGGAAAAAGACTATGGAGTAGAGTATATGAACAACGTCTTAAAAAATCCTTGCACTGGTTGTTTGTTATTGTTTTTTATCTTCCTTTTGTACCCTGGTGGGATTGGCTATAAATTAATTAGTGGCATCTTATTCCTTTCCCTCTATAATGAACTTTGGGCTTCTATTTTGACTAGCTTGGTCAAGTTTTGGTATCTAGCACTCTCAAGTTCATTTTTTGATCCACAACATTGTGTTCAACTCTAATAAAAATATGCGATTATGAATTGCATATAAAATAGTTACATTGCTCTCACTCTCTCTCTCTCTCTGAACGTATTTATGTAAAGAATTGTTGTTAGCCATCTACTTTATCTGGTCCAGTGGAAAGAACTTTTCTCTGATGTCTTAATGCGTGTACAGTATTTTATTGTTATTTGTGCAGATTGATGTCCTTTATCTTGAACCTTAGCACTAATGAATTATTTGGCTGTTCTTGCAAGCAGACCCTTCACTAGTCCTGCCTGCTTTACTTCGTCTTATTTTCTCCTCAAGTGAAAGAGTTCAGTCATCTGCTAGTAACACTCTCCTAGCGGTGCTCAAATATCATAACAAAAAAGTTGAAGTTATATGCATGTTGTTCGACTGTCTAAGGTAATCGCTTGTTCAGTTTTGATTAATTTTTCTTTTATTTTGTCTTGAATTCTCTCATCAATCAGGCTAATAACAAAATTTCAATGGTTTAATTTGTTGGAAGTTGTGTAAAAAAAAAAATTTTTGCAAGTTCATTTTTCTGGAAATTTTTGACAATTATCTACTGTATGTTATCCACTTTAATACTTTAAACAGGAATTTCAGTTATCATTGTTAGTTTTTGTGCAGCAGTCTTTGCCAAAATCCAGATCTTCCAAATACTTCTGGTGATCGGGGAGAAGGTATGTGTCTCACTGTTTTTGCTGTTCGAATTGTGCGTTAGACATGCAATTACATCCTTGTTCTTGTTTGTACTTGTTTTTATACATGTCAATTTTAGGTAGCACCTATCATAACTTCAATGTCTGAAACCCCATACAAAAATCTTCAATACTGGAAGGAAAGCTGCAAAATGTCCAAAACTGATAAATGTAATATTTAATCCACATAAGCCATCTTCCGGGTCCCAATGAGAATTATGAGATCTCCCTTGAAATTCTTTTCTGTAGGAACATACTTTGCTTGAGTGGTCTGCCCACCACATCAAGGGGGAGGTTGGAGGTCCAATCCCCAGTGTGGGCAGGTGTGCAAGTAAATTTACTAAGAACTTATAAGTAAATAAAATAATTACATGTCGAAGAAAAAGGCTTACATTTAGCATGACATATGAGATGCTTAATCTAATATCTGGTTCACCTTGGGACATGTGACATTTCACCATCCAATGTCTGCCATTTACGAGAATTTATGTATAAAAAGTAGCATAAGTTTATAATTTTAGCTGTATATTTCTGTTCTATTAATTAATATCAGAAGCTTTCCATATTATTTTGGGGAAAATACCTTTTGAGATTTAATGGTTGGGCCTTCTTGTTATGTTAATTGTGTGTAGTCAGGCTTCTGAATTAGGCTTTTATCAAATAGTGTGTCTCATTGCTGTCAAGTGTCAATTAGGCATGGCATGTAGTACATGAGATGCTTAACTTGAATGAGCACATGCTCTATCACTGCAGGATAGCAATCGCAGTTACATGGATTTTGCCAGATGGGCTTTCTGGACATGATATTTCTTTTAATAAGTTACTTATCTATAGAAATATTTTGGCCTGGAGAACTTTACTAGAGTGGTGTTCTAGGATTGTCAACTATATTTTCTTGTGCTTCTAACCATGTTACTTATTATATATCTGCAATTTATTATATTAAGTTATGATGTAGGACTTCAAGAGCAGCCTTAAATAGCTAAAACTTACAGAAAACAGTGGCTGAAATTTCAAACAACCAGGGCAGAATTCAGTGGATGATAGTAGAAATGTAGAAAAATCAAGGAGAAAAGAAATTGAATAAGAGCTGTGACGTTGTGGCCCGAATTTGGTGCCGGGTTGCACGCGGCCCGTTTTTGACCCAACGGGTAGTTGGAAAACGTTTGACCCGTTTTTGCTCATGGGTCGTGGACCCTAATTAGTACTCTCTTGTAGCCCGATATATAAGGGCATTTAGGGTTTGTAGTGGGTTGTGTGACAGACACTGAAATCCGTATAGAAGAGTGGGGCTGAAACTTGTAATCTCCGATTTTACACATAGTGAAGACTTTCTCCGGATCTCCACCGTAGACGTAGGCTTTGCCGAACCACCTATAAATCTGTGTTCTTTGTGTGGTGTGTTTATTTTTCTGTCGTGTTATCGTAATTGTTGCTTGGTTCGTTGCATTTGTCGTAACAAGAGCAACATATTGGAATCATAGTTATTAAAAGCCCAAGGCGCACCGAGGCGCTAGAGGCCCCTTGGAGCCTAGGCGCGAGGTGCACGGCGAGGAGCGAGCCTGAGTGATGTGAGGCGCACAAAGTATAATTTTAAAACAATAATTCTTAACAAAAATAACACAATTAAACAATGAACATCCAATAATAAAAACACTAAATAGAATGGAGTCAATGGAGTGATGGACCAAGTTAAATTCAGCAAACAAACATTCAGCAAACAACATTCACACTTTCAGCAAACACCATTCAGAAAGATGCATTCAAAATTTAAATAATCTAGCATACAGCATGTAGCAAAATTCAGTAAATTGCATTCAAAAGAAGAAAAAACAGAACACAACAACACAAAAAAAAAAAGAAGAGACAGGCAGCCTTCAAAGAAGAAAGGAGAAAAAAAATACAGCGAGAAAAAAAATACAGGCCAGAGAGAAAAAATAAATAAATAAAAAAAATACAGCAAGAAAAAAAATACAACGAAGAAAAAAAATACAGGCTAGAGAGAAAAAAAAAAAAAAAAAAATACAGAGAAAAAAAATACAACGAGAAAAAAATACAGCGAGAAAAAAATACAGCAAGAAAAAAAATACAAGCCAGAGAGAGAAATATATATATATATATATAGACCCAGAAGAACAAAAACATAGATGGAGAATAAGATAGAAGAAAAAAAAATAAATGAGACCCATAAAAAGAAAGAGACCGAGAAAAACACAAAACCAGATATATAGAGAGGAGGAAGAAAAAAAGAGACCCAGAAGAACAGAAACAGAGACGGAGAAAAAGATAGAAGGAAAAAAAAAAAAAAACAGAGACCCATAAGAACAAAAACAGAGACCGAGAAAAAGATAGAAGAAAAAAAAAAAGAGACCCAGAAAAAGAAAGAAGAAAACCAGAGATATAGAGGTGAAGAAGAAAAAAAGAGACCAAAAAAAAAAAAAAAGCGAGATATAGAGATTAGAGAATAAGCAAATGAAGAGAGAGAGAGAGAGAGAGAGAGAGAGAGAGAGAGAAGAGGAGAAGAGAAGAGCAGGAGGAGGAAAAAAATTACTAAACTGACCTGGTAGGTTGATTCGGTGATTCCGGCTTCATCTTCGTCGGATGGAAGCAACTGATTGCCCTCTCTTCTCTTCTCTTCTCTTCTTTCTTTCTTTCTTTCTTTCTTTCTTTCTCTTTCTTCTGTTTCCCACTCCCTCACGTCTTTATTTCTGCTGCAGCTTTTGCTATAGATTGATTTGTTTTGTTGACTATTGTGATACATTGGGTTGCCTCACAAGTCACAAGAGGACAAATTTCCATTTTGTACTTAAAGTTTTTGTTTTGTACTTTCAGTTTCCAAAAGCTGTAACTATATATATATAATAATATAAATTAAAAAAGCAAACACATGGTACACGTAAAACATAAAAGGAAACAGCCAAACAAATTATAAAAGGACCACAGAATATATGAAGCGCGCCTAAGCGCGCCTCTTAAACCATCCAAGGCGCAGCCCAGGCGCGCGCCTAGTGAAGGTCGCTGCGCCTGGGCTAGCATGAGGCGCAAAAGCTGCGCCTGTAGGCGCCTTGCGCCCAGGCGCGCTTTTAATAACACTGATTGGAATCACACCAAAAGGTCTAGGCATCACACCTGGAGAAGGCCTCACACTTCATTCACTGCCCAGCCAATTTTACACTCCATTTCTTTATAGGATTCTGCTCATGCCTCTTAGAATTACTTGGTGCTTATCTTGTGACTTTTGAACTCACCTCGTAATTGAGGTAATCAATATGACTCACGACTCTTCAAATTCGTAACTCATGTCTTAATGGCATAAATAGCAGTAAATAAAACCTATCTTTTATTGCATCACTCCAATAATTCAAGATTCCAAGTGGACCCCCATCATCTAGCATATACCAAATTAAGGCTCGAGTCATAAAATCCTCCTTTCCGTGCCTTTTATACACCTTTAAAGATTATAGCCATTGATGGAGATCAGTGGCAGCATCCCTTGAAATGCATGGAAAGGAGTATTAAGACTTAGAGCCTTAGTTTTGCATATGCTAGATGATGTGGGTCCACTTGGAGTCTTGAATAATTTGGTGTTTTGGTCAAGTTGCATCATTTATGAGTTTGGTGGGCATTATGATGCAATTAAGGTGGTTTTTATTTGTTTTTACATTATTAAGTCATGAGCTAGGAATAGGAAGAGTTGTGTGTCACTGATTATCTCAATTAGGAGGTAATTCTACAAGTCACGAGTTAACAAACATGCAACTCTAAGACGCATGAGTAGAAATCGTATTAAGGGATGGGTGTAATCTTTTGGTTGAATCAATGAATGAATGAATAAAAATATCTTATGAAATTTTCTTTGTGAGTGATCACAATTTATGAGGGTGTGAGACCTTTTCTAGGTGTGAGGCCTGTTGGTGCGACTCCAATAGGCTGCTCTTATTCTATTTCTTTTCTCCTTGATTTTTATTCATTTCTACTATAAAACCTCCAAATTTCTGCCCTGGTTGTTGGAAATTTCAGCCACTGAATTCTGTAAGTTTTAGCTATTTAAGGCTGCTCTTGAAGTCCTACATCATGTTATTTTATGCTTCCTTTGGTTGCAAATAGACTGAGGAAAATTAGGCAGAAGTTTAGAATGTTATAGCAGTTCCAATGGTTCTAAGGTTCTAAAATTTCTTCCTTTTCTTTTTCTCCTCCTCCACCCAAACACCAGCCTAAGAGTGCATCAAAAGCTTGTACAGTAAGTAGTTAGGCAATTACCTCTTTGCTTCTATTCATTTTTATCCTTTTATTTAGCAGGGTTGAAGTTGGATGCTGATAGAGTGCTCAAGCTGATCCCAGAGTGGTCAAAAAATGTAAGCTTGGTTAGCTTGTAGATTTATGTAATAAATTTGATGTTACTATGCTATAGAGTTGTTTACTTATGGTCTTTGCCCACTACTTTTTTTTAGCAGAGTTCTTAAATATGCATGCATATGTTTCCATGTATTTCTTTCACTTCTTGTACCGTCTCAGATATTTCATATTTGCCATCCAAAATCAATAATATGGTTGTGCCATGATGCATATATTTTTGTCTATATAATGTCAGAACCGAATTTAGCTTGTGTGAAAAGTTCATTTTCTTGACGATTATGTGTATCTGTGCAATTTTGCATACCATACCCATGTACATCAGTGGAGAGAGTTGCAGTCTACTTAGCTCTATATTTATATAGTAACCCATCCCGTGGCTTTGTTTTTACACACAAATCAGTGGGAAAACATATTGATCTTGACCATTCTATAATGCATTTAGGATGAATGGGACTCTAGACTTCAAAAGAATTAGCATTTCAGATGGTTATATATATATTTTCTTTTTGTTATCTGTCTCTCTGAGACGAAATAGAGTTATGTTTTCTTTATATTTCACATGAAGGAGGTCATAGATTGTAAATTATTCTCATCTTACCACTTGGTTAATCTGTTGTGGGCTTCTATACATTTGCATCGTGTAGCTGCTGGTGTCACTATTGGTTAGTGCCAGTGTGAATCCTTTAACATTTCATACTGTTAAAAACAACTCCTAGCAGCTATATTTGCATCACGCTCTCGAAGGTAGCTCTTTCAGGTGTTAGAGAGGTGAAACAACTTGAGTGAACGCTCATCTCTGAAGTCTGTGCAGCTTCTTCCAGTTATCTCTTCAGCTTATAATTTGGCATTTAAATTGCTTTTACATGATTATTCAGAATATTCTTACTTTATTGGTGAGTAATGATATCTTTAAGATACTGGATTCTTTTAGTTTATATCTGAGTTAGTTTCTATATTGTTCTGGAATATAATAGGTTGAAGATTGGAACTTGTTGATTGGTCCATTGATTGACAAGATGTTTGCAGAGCCATCAAATGCAATTATTGTCAGGTTTCTCAGTTACATAAGTGAACACTTAGCGAATGCTAAAGATGTAGTCTTCAATCAACTTCTGTTGCATACACAAGGGCAGAAAAAGTGAGTACATTATTTTCCTGATGTTCTCTTTAATCTCATTTTGACCCTTGAATGTCATTTCTTTTATGTACTTAATCCTCGCTGGTTAAACATGTAATCAAAGTATACAGATTTTTCCTTTTGTTAGTTAATTGATTTTAACTTTTAATAATAATGGTAATTCAGAAGCTTAATTCTAAGAGGAAATCTTAGCGGATAAGATGGATGTGAGCTTGAAAATATTAGGATATACAAGAGCTTCTTTTACCCTATTTTGTTTGCAAATGATTTGCTAGAAACACCAGTGTAGGACTGTAGGTGACAACTGTCGGCGGCATTATTAACAAATGACTTTACAAAATTAGTGACGACTAGTTTCCAAAGTGTAATCTATCTTGTTACCTATCCTTTGTGAGACAAAAATTAGCTTAAGTTATTAGCCAGCAATGTATTTATATAATTATTTCATCAACGTGTCCTCTCACATGACCAGACTCTCCCTCATGAGTGGTCCCAGCAAGTGAATATGTTTTAGTTACTAGGTGGTTGTCAAAAAGGTCATTCAGTTATTGACATAATCATGAATAAAATCACTAATTTTGAGCTTAGAGCTAGATGTTTGTTAATTTTGTTTTCTTAATTTTATATTATTTTTCTAATTAACCCATAATATATTTAAAATGGCATTGAATCACATTCTTCTAAAAAAAATAATTACAAAACCACCCATCGTGTCCTGAAAGTGTCAAAACATGTCCTTGCCTTGTCCATGCTGTCTCCAACCAGAAAATAAAATATTCAAATTTTAGGTCACTTACTAGCCGTGTCCAACACGTGTTCGAGTATTTGTGCTTCCTAGATCACACATCTCTTGTGATTTAGTGGACATCTACTTTCCCGTATTGCTGAAGAAGAATCTATTAGTGATGGCAGAGTTTGATTCTGCCTTGGAGTGGCTTGTTTCATCTTAGAGATTTTTTGCCTTGTTTATATCTACGTTGTTTCCAATTTTTTTTTTTTTTTTTTGTTTTTTTTTTTCCGACTCTTTTTAAGTTGGACTTTTTGGCATTTTTGGCTACTGTTAAGAGTCAAGGCGTGCCAAGTCTTCGGTGAATTTGGACTCCCTTTATTCTCAGATGCTAATGCAGGCAATGGGCAGTTCATCGGAGTTACGATGTAACGGTGGTAGGAAGTTTCAGGGACCTTTGATCCATGATTAATAGGGCTTTTCTGCATTGGTATAAGCTTGTCTCTGGTATTTTTTGTCTGTATCAGTATGGATTTAGTTTTCTTAATGGAATAAAAGCTTCAATGGAGTGTCATGTGGATTTACAAAAATTTATTATGACAAATTACTTTTGCCTTCTTTGACTACTTTGGATTCCCCATGGAAACGGTGTTTTGCTAGTTCGCTTTATGCATTTCCTTAATTTAAGCCATAACATCTTCTCTTTCACCCTTCGTATCCTTGCATCATCATTGACTTGAGCCATATTGCTTCTTTTAAATGCACTAATTACTTTTAGTTTTAGTTGCATTGGGCTTTATTATGATTTTGTAGTAGCTAAATATCTTGAGCATCTGCAATACCCTTCCAATAGTTCCATGGAGATTGAAGGGCTTACCCATCATCTAAATAATATATGGTCCAAGGTCATCTTTGGAATTACATGAAAGTAACAAAACGATGTCAACATAAAGTTTGTGTGATCATATGTTTGTGGATTCAGTTCTCTATATTTTTCTCAAATCCCACTCAACATGATACTTCTAGACATGAGTGTAATCAGTAAGGGGCTGTTCACTTTTTGTTGGATGTGCAAACATGTACTTATTAATCCATTAATAGAATTTCTAACTAAAAAAATTGAACGGTGTTAAGAGTCAAAGTCCAAGGACACTGAAATGCTATCTTGAGTACTTGAACTGGGTTTTTCTTCCTCTGCTGTGATCTTCCTTAGCCCTCAACCTCATGCATTCCTGACAAGCAAGTGAAGTTACTAGGTCTGGCAGGTATATGGATGTTTTTATTCAGTTGCGTCTTATGTTAATGTGCATATACTCAGAATATTCTTCACTTAAACCTGATGATATTTCCATTTACTTGTTAGTGAATGTCTCTTTTTCAATTTAATGCAGGACACTATTTGCATTACTGGTTATAAAGCATATAGATATATTTTAAATTCTCTATTTCTTTTGTCTGTGTCTTTTATTGTCCAAGTGAGCATCTTCATTTTGTTTAGTATATACCCCTGACATCAATTCACTTAAATAGAAGTGTCTTGTACTTCTTCCATTATTTTTTCGATATATTAATCTTTTTTCAACCAGTGAGGCATATGCCTTCATGGCTACTAGTTGTTTCATTTCTCTTGTAAACTGCTATGCATCCACCACTTCACATTTAAACATGACTAGAATCATGATTATTGTTGTTAACAATATTGTCATTGTTGTGTAGGATATGTTGTATGTTTGAGCATTTAACTAATGGCAATTGTATCTGCTCTACTGTCACTGTGTTGTGGGTGAATTCATTATTTTTTTCATTAGCTGATATGGTGAAAGCTTCTTCTCTAGATGGGAGAGTAGGACCTATTCAAGTGATGACTCTGTGGAATTGCAGCAATCTTTGTTTTGTCGCCTTTGTCCATTACTTATAATCAGGCTGCTTCCACTTAGAGTTTTTGATGACCTCAATTCTTCTACTGTCTATGGTGAACTTCTCAATCAAAGTGTTCTGCATGGTATGCTTATGAGCCTTAACTGACTTTGTTATGCTCTCTGTCTTCTTATTTAATTGCTTTTCAACCCACAGTTCAATTAAGCTGAATGTTTAATTGATAAAGGTTTTAAGTTTCCTCTCTCTTTTCTGATCTTTTCCTTTCGGTAAGATCTTGATCATTGGCATTCCAAGCTTTTTGAGAAACAAGTTTTACTGCATTGATATGCCTAACTTCTGTTATTCATTCATGACATTCCAGATGCTGTATATTTTGACATCAACAACACTGAGTGTGTTGCTGCACTTCTTCTCAACAGGTTTATTGACATGCACAACCATCTTCAAGCTTATTAACATGTTCATGATTTTAATTGTTTGTTATTAGCTTAATAATCTTTTCGTTTTGAATGAGGATACAAGTTCCTTTCTGGTTATCTTTTTCAGGGCAATTAATAAGTACGAATTTGAAGATGTTCGAAAACTTGCAGCTGAGCTCTGTGGCAGAATTCATCCCCAGGTATGTGACAGTTCCACTTTTTGGCCTCAAGTATTTGGCAGTTACTTCTATATTTTCTAAGGTTAGGATGAATGCTATTGCTTAAATAAGGAATATTTAGAAGGTTTTTGTGGTTTACGTCCTGAATTATGCGAATGTTATGTTCTTGAGGTGATAAATCATAGACGTTAAAATTGTAGAAGCTTGTGCTGAATATGATGTAAGGGAAATTAATTGGGCCAGGCAGTTGCAGGTTCTCATATTTCTCGAAGTGTGGCTGCATATTTATTGAATTACGATTCTTTAACTATGACCTCATAAAAGGCAGTTTGTAAGCCTTTTCTTCTATGACCCCTCCCCCATCCTCTCTTTGTTCAATGAGATTTTATATTGAAGCATTTTTGTTCTTTAAAATAAGTTTCTATTTAGCAGAAGTTGTTGGTGTGGATTTTAGCATACAATTTTGTTATCCTGTTACTTTCTTTAAAAAAAAAAAAAATTAAAAAATTGTTTTGCTTTCTTTCTTCCTTCCCCACTCTGTTGAAGGCTCTAGCAAAAACATGGGCCGACAAAAATGAGTGTGTGCTTGTGAGTCTAGAAGTAGCCATTTTGCTTGAAATATTGCCTTATATTGGTTTGTTTCCAATACACCTCCCCATATGCCGCTTGGCAGGACCAACTCCAAGTAATTAATATTTAGGTTGTTCTAGGCTAGTTATGCAGTCTGTTTATCTGGTAAACCTTTCGAGTCTAACTGAAAAATGTATGATTTTCTGTTGCACGTGATAAATAAGGATCACGGGATTTCTAATTTGGAATAAAGGCATAATGAACACTTATTTTTGTTGCAGCCAAGAATGCTTTTTTTGTGGGTTAAGTTATACTCGACTGGATTTATGACAACTCTTTAAAATGTTTATTTAGTTAATTTAGTAAGTGGTCTTTCTCTAAATGCATTAATTTTAAGAAGTTTTTTCAATCTGACAATTTATTTTTGTTTAAAAATTGACTGAAAATACGAATGACTCTTGGCCCTTGTGCATACATCTTGGTTACATGGTTTACTGTTTAGATTGAAATTGGTCTGTAAGAATTCATGTGTGTGATTATGTTGTTGTAATCTAGACTAACAGTGATTTGAAAGATTAAAATTTGGGAAAGGTTTTTACTAAAAACTAATTTCTAAATAATGAATGCCACGTTCACAAGTCCTAAATGCTGCTTGATCATAAGAAAAGGCAAAGCCCCAGTTGATTAAATTCAACTCAAACTAGCTTATTTATGTCACCCTTAAAGTTAGCCCTTGACGAACCATGCTCTTCCGTTGCTGCTGAAACTTGGTTTAAGAACAGACTATGATTGCATACACTTTAGTTTGCATGCTGAAACTCATTTCTCTTAGTCTTAAAAAATAGTTACTCTGCTGTCCTTAAAGGAACTGATTAAGGTTCTGTTATCCTTTTCAATCTGTAAAAACTCTGGAAACAGATGAGCTATTCTTTTCCCTGTTAGAGTATCATTATATTTTAACTGCATGAACGCTGCAGTCTCTGCTTTCAGATTGAAATTTTTTTGGACTTGATTTGAATCTCATTTATTACTTCAACCTATTATATAAAAAGTAGAATGTGAACCAACATTCTCATTTTAATTATATTAAATCTTGTTGTTAATACAGTTTGAATACGTTATCTTCTAGGGTGTGGCTTTCTAATATCTTGTTGCCATGCTTTTGTAATTTCTAGTGTTATATGTGTGCTTTTGTGCCGCCTTCAATTTTTATATATTGATGATTCTAATTTCCCCGTCTTGGGTTCTTAAGGTGCTCTTTCCCATTATTTCCTCTCAATTGGAACATGCTACTAAAGCTCAGGATGTACTGAAGATAAAAGCTTGTCTGTTTTCACTTTGCACATCCCTTGTGGTAAAAATCTTTCATCAACACATATTTTTTCATGATTGCATGTTTGATATTCTGGTTTTTTGTATCTTCTATTGTTCTAACCATATGTTCTATTTGTGTAGTTAATTTTAGTTGTTCCTTTGGTTAATAGGTTAGAGGCAGGGGTTCAATTTTGCCTCCTGTAATGCTTAAAATAAAAGAAGCAATAGGAACTGTTCTGTCATGGCCTTCGCTGGATGGAGATGAAGGTAACTAGTTAATTTTTTCCCCCTGATTTGGTGATCCTCTTAATGCTTCGGAAGTATGATGGCTGCAAGATCTCTCTTTTCAGTTTCCAAAGCACAGCATGGGTGTATTGATTGTCTAGCACTGATGGTATGTACTGAACTACAAGCTTCAGAATCCTTCAGTGACTCTACCTCAAAGAAAATGGGCATTGTTGGAAAGAATAGATGTTCTGGTTAGTATCTGATTCCCACTTACATAAGCATTTATTCTGCTTTGGAGAGCTCAAGTGATCTTTGTGATCTTAACCACAGGTTATGCTGGCTCGAAATTTTCAGTCATCGCTTATGTTATTCAGCAATTGACGTGTGATAATAATGAATTGAGTGGGAAGTTCATGTCTGAGGCGTCAGTATGTCTCTCGTCTCGCCTCTGCATGGCTAATGTCCTCATTAGTGCTTGTCAAAAGATCTCCGACTCTGGCAAGAAACAGTTGGCTCGAAAAATTCTTCCGCGTCTCATTCATTCTGTGGGGGTATGTTGATTATAGAGGTCCTTATCAGTAGGTTCCAGTTATGCTGAGTTTTTAGTATGCAAAACTATTTAATGCTACCGGTAATTCTGCTTTACTTGGTGTTGTTAGCAGCTGATGGTGGAATCCGAGATTAGAGCTGCATGCATCCAGGTTCTCTTTTCAGCTGTATACTATCTGAAATCTGCGGTCATTCCCTACTCCTCTGATCTTCTCAAAGTCGCTCTGAAATCTCTCAAAGAAGGATCAGAAAAGGTAATGGCCTCCTGTATGACACAATTTTAATGCACCATGGTTGGTGATCAAGACAGCACCATGGTTGGTAATCAAGACACACATGTACTGGCATAATCACAAATTACTTAAAATTTTTAAGCACATTGCTCCTTATGAACTACGAGGGGCTGCTATAGCATACTTGTATCTTGTATTTAGGGTAAAAACCAGTAGTACTTTCTAGTTCTGGAGTTTTGCCTTTCAAAATTGGTCATAAACTGTGAAATCTGAATAGAAATTCTACATAGTTTATGAATGACAAAAGTAAAAACGAGTCAAACGACACAAAAACTAGTGATGATGCCACATATTAATAGATAGGATTTTAGCTTATTAATCGTTTTCTCATTTCACTTCCAAATATCATGTACTTCTCAATGGATGATTGCATAAGCTTTTGAATTATCATGTGATTTAAGTACTTTTGGCATATAAAATATATGGGCATTATTACCTAGGTTGTTTTGGTTGAGATCCTTCAATTTTTGGTTTTGCTTCACCTATTTTATATTTTGTTCGCGAATGCAGGCATGTTCTCATGTTTCTATTTCTTTTTTAATTTTTTGGTAAATACACTCGTCTTTCTTTAGGGTTCTCACACTGATTTCCCTTGTGGTTTTAAAAGTAACAGTGATCTTCCCCAACTTTTATATGTTGCTAGCAGTTTCTAATGGTTTGATCTTTTCACAACAAGTTGACTTGTCAATCCATCTATCTACTATATACATAAAAAGATATATGAATATCACCATCCAGTGAACCATTCTGAGTTGGGGGGTCAGTGTTAAAAGTGCAGGACATGTAAGTTAGCTATAAGAAATCCTAAAGGAGGTGGATGTAATTCGTTTAGGAGTTCTTTTTACGAAATAGCCAACTGTTTGGCCCGTTATAAATGCTTTTTATTTTTTATGTTTTCATCAGGAAAGGATGGCTGGTGCCAAATTAATGGCATCTCTCATGGCAAGTGAAGAAATGGTTGTCGAGAGTATCTCAGGGGCACTACTTGAAGCAAAAGCAGTGCTATCAAGTGTATCATCATCGGAGCTTTCACCCGAACTAGAAGAAGTGTGCAAACAATTGCTTATATGTTTAACGGCTCTCTGAGTTGTTTTATTCTGTATAGTGCTTTTGTAAATGTACCACCGCTAGTTCTTTCATTTGATTGTGTGTAGTAGAGATCAAACATAAAATTATGTAATTCTGTGTTTCTTCATGCTATAGCACATTTTGGGATCAGTGTGGATCTGTCATAAAATTGGGCAACTTGGTGACGAGAACTTTGCGTGATTGTTGAGAATAATTTAGAAGTTCGATAATGAATTTAAAAGGAAAGCCAAACATAATGGAAACATAGAAGGGTTATTACCATGAATTATTAAATCTTCATAAAGCATCAAATGGAAACCTTGGCTTTCCATTCAGTACTCTCTTTAGGAGTGAGTATCATCATTTTCCCTCTTTATATATATATATATATATATATATATATACAATAATACATGAGCAAACCAGTTGCACCGATTCAGTACATCGAATTCACATGGACAATTTGGTGCTCGAGTCTAGAGCCTCTTGGATACTTTACAGATGTATCAAACAGTTTAGACTCAAATCGTTTCATTTATGTGTTAATGATCCATTTTCAATATTTTATTTATTGGATGAGACATGGAATTTCATTCTAAAAGTAAAAACCAACCAGATGGTAAGAGAGATGTGAGAGGATAGCGACTTGGATAACAATAATGCATAAAAGCAAGTAGAAAAAGAATAATGTGGTAGGGTCTCGACTCTATCCATAAATCATAAAGGTGAGCACATGGCTTTAAATTAGAGAGTAGATGGCCATTTCTTATTAAAACCTAGGATGTGGGTTTGTCTCAAAAATATATGTGATTTTTTTTCCCTTTATTATTATTATTATGATGATTTATTTGTACCTACTGAACTAATTTTTTAAAATTAAAATTGTAATCCTCCATTAATTAAGACCTTTATCAAATATAGAAATAAAAGTTTTCTATTTGGGCGGTTAAAAAAACACGGCCCTGGTTTAAGAAACACTTCCAGTGGGGTAGGAGGAGGCGTTAGGCAGTTACCATTTAGTATTATTTAATTTTAGGATAAAGTACAAAGAGACCCTGAGGTTTGAGGAAAAAGGACAGACAGATGAAAGTTGGCTTGTTTTTGGACAAACACACCTCCTTGTGAAATTTGCCCTCCAAACAGAGCCTTAAATCAAGTGAAAAGTTCATTTTACCCTTCACTATTTTATTAATTTTAATTATAAAATATTTAAAACTTAAATGGCCAAAATACCCTTTTCATATATACTTATACACACACACACACACACACACACACAACCAGTCACCACCGCCCCCAATCTCCACCAACCCCCAACCTCCATAATCACCACCCACTAAAGAAGACGCCAAAAAGGAGCTCTGCAACTGCCACCTCCTCGACCTCGCCGGAGCTCAGCCTCGGTTCGGGCGGCGAACTCGACCTTGGACAAGCCGGGTTTGACCGGGATTGACAGAGACGTTCCCCATGCCGGCGTCTTTCATTCTTGACAGCGGTAGAGAGTTGATGTTTGAGCCTGCAGGGAAGATTTGAGGATGAGATCGGTGCCGCCGCCACCACCACCCTCTTCCCCTCTCTCATACACACGCGCACACACACACACACACATATATATCACCCCCTCATCTGTGCACATCACCATCCCTAATTCTCACCTTCGCATGGAAAAGGGCTCTAATTGGACTCAAAACGGACGGCAGAAGCGATGGCCACTTCAGCCTCCTCGGCCTTGCAGGTGACGGTCGCCGGACTGTGCTTATCTGAACCTTGTCGTCATCGGAGCTTGGTCCTCGCCGGATTGTTTTTGCTCGTCGATCTCTTGTTGCTCGGTTTCTAAACTTCGCCACACTATTCAGTCCGTGGCCGCATCGTCATCGGAGCTTGGTCCTCGCCGGCAATTTCAGGGTTTCGCCGATGCTTCTGGGTTTCGCCGCCACTGTCACAGTCATCGCCGCCACCCCCACTATCGCAGTCATTGCCGATGCTTCTTCCTCTCTCTCCTCTTCACCTTATCTCTTCAACTATGACCGCCCCTCTCTTCCCCCTCTCTCTACACCCACCACCGCGGCCACAACCACCATCCATCTGATCTCCCTTCTCTCTCCTCTGGTGAACTGTATAATATACGCAGGCGGGTTCGGGTTCGGGTTTGGTTTCGGGTTTGGGTTTAATCAAAGGGTATTTAAGTCAATTAAAATGTTAATTTTATTTGAAAGGGTAATAAGGTCAATTCACCATCTTCAGGGTCTCTTTGTCCATTTTTCAAACTTGAAGGGATGTCATTGTCCAAAAACATGCTAACTTTCCTCTGCTTATCCTTTCCCCGTCAATGTACTTTACCCTTAATTTTATTATCTACGAGTACTTGCTATATATACATACATACAAACACTGACACGCAGAAGCATAATCTAGTCCTTACTCGTCCAATACAAAATTTTCTTACCAGATAAATAAGGCGTCTCTCTCTCTAGAACAGCTCTTTCTCTCTCTATATTCGTTGAAGCGGCTTTTGTTGAAATGCTGGAGCTGTTCTTCGCCCTGGCCTTCTCGGCGGTCCCTATTACTCTCTACGTCCCGCCGATTCGAAGTCTCAATCTCTTCGTCGAAACCATCCAAGAACTCATACGGCAGTGTGCTGTATATACCCGCAGAGATTTGCCTCGTTTTCGCCTCGCTTTCTCCAGGATCTTCTCTTTGCTTTGCTTTCCAAGGTAGATTCCACAAATCCAAAACCTAGATTGTTTGGATAGTTTGTATAATACCTTACTTTTTTTTTTGTAAGTTTATTCTTGGTTTTGTATGATTGCTGGCGTTGTTAATTGTGGGACTACATGTACATGGTAAAGAAATTGACACAATGATTTGAACATGAGAATTGGGATTTCTTGACCTTGGTTTGTTCAGGTAATTAATCGGTAGGGTTGTGTTCTTTCTTTTTGTCCTTTTAAATTTTAATTAAGGTGTTTTTTTTTTTTTCCCTAGGATTTGCATTCTTTAACAGTACATACATATCAAATTAGGGTATTCGTTTACTATAAGTGATTGAATTTGTTTCAGATTGATGACTGACCTGTTATTATCTCTTGCAAGCTATTCTAGTTCTGATTTCATGATTCTTTACTAGGACTTTTGTTTATTTTATTTTATTTTATTTTTCATGAGAAGTAGAACACTAAGAACAGCTACGTCTAATTATCTATATGTCTATATATTTTTATATATATTTTTAAAAATTATAGTAATTGGGGTTTTTTTTTTTCTAATACATTAAATTGGTTTTTATTTTCCCCAATTGTTTGGAAATAAGGAAAATGCCATAAGAGGGCTTTGAACTTAGGCTTCTTTTCTTTTTCATATTTTAAGCTGTTCTGATTTTAATTCACAATGATTTTCATTTTTTAGAATTTTATTTATTTATTGTAGTATCTTTATAAATTAATTGTTTTGAATGTTTTCAGGGTAATGTACTTTTATTCTATTATTGAAATTTCAACTTCAACTAAGATTGGTCGAAAGACTTGCAAGATGACCTTTCATGGTGCATGTTGTTTAAGGATGACATTTGTAGAGGTGTATTAGAATCAAAAGGATTAAAAATTAGTAAAAGTAAAACAGAATACATGGCATGTAAATTTAGTAGTTACGGGGAATGATAATATAACAATAAAAATTCAAGACCAAAGTATTACTCGAAGTAATTATTTTCAGTACATAGGATCAATTGTACAAAAAGATGGAAAGATCGATGATGTATGTAGTGAAATGGAATAGGTTCGACTAAGTGGAGAAGTGCTGAATAGATTAATCATTAGACCAGCAGTTCTATATGTAGCGTGCGTGTTGAAGGATTAGACACTCTCTAAAAACACACGCTCTCTAAAACCCTCACCGTCGCCTTGATAATTAAAAATTGAAAACACGTGTTGGAAAAAAAAAGGTCACATGTAAGGGAGCGTGTTGAAGGATTTAAATATTAAAATTACAATCTCTAATAGCTTAAGCTTTTAGAGTAGATGGTTGTTAACAGAGCGGAATGCGCATTAAAAAAGAAACAAACGAACAACGCATCCATGTGGCGGAAATGTGGATGTGAAGAGGATGCTTGGAAAAACTAGGAAAAGTAATATTAATAATTAAATGATTAGGGAGAAATGAAGTGTGACACCTATTACTGAGAAAATAAGAGAAGGTAGACTTAGGTGGTATGGGCATGTCGCCCATACCCAACGCTGACCTTTAGATTCACGTGTGAAAAAGGGAAGATTGATTTGCATAGAAGGTAAGAGACAAAAAGGACCTAAACTAATATGGAATGAAGTAATAAGGAATGATATAAAAAATAAAAATCTAGTAGGGGGTATGGCTTAAAAAAAAAAAAAAAACAAAATGAATCCATGTGCCAATCTGAACACAAGTAGAAGGATGGTGATAATAATTATCGAGTGAGATTGTTGATTTTTAATTTGTTTTTTCTTTTTTGGGCCCTGAATGGGTTGGTAGGTACTATGTAGTAATAATCTTATTATATTTTAGAGAGGCAGATGAGTGGGGTTGGTCGCGTTTGAATGCTTGTTGGGGGGTGTCTGGTGAAGGTGTGACCACCCTTGGGGTTCACATTAATCATAACCTCCTATGAGCAGGAAAGCTTATCCTATGAGCAAGAAGAATGTTGGTTCTAAATTTAGTAACTTTTTCCGAATTTAAACAGATTGTTGAGAATGCTGCCTCTGGTTTGAAGAGATTGCAGATTCTAGCTAGAAAAACAACTCCTGGTCTGGTATGAAAATTATAACTTTAAAGAATCCAGTCGACTCTTGGCTGAAAGCAACATAGAATTTCATTTTGTGCATTCCTTTTGTCTAGAAAATAATGTTATGGATTGACTAGTAGTTGTGTCTACATTATACTATAAACTAGAAGTTGTGGTGCTTTTATTTTGTGCGGTTGCACTTTTGATTCTAGAAGAGTTTGACATGTACTTTGAAAAGTAGGGGTCAGAAATTTTATGTTTCCAAGTTTGAAAAGAAAAATGTAAGACAGTTAAAGAACATTTATGTTGACAATAGGGGTGAATGGGTGATGAGTCGGAGGGACCATTTTGAAAGGAATCCGGTGAAGTCATGCAATCAATATGATGCTTACCCCGAGTGGGGTTAGCTCATTTCAACTCGTTGCGAACTTATCATGTGATTGCGAACCCTATCAATTCAGTTGATTGTTTTATTTCATATCACTCTCAGAGAAGCAATAAAACAATCAAGGAAGCAATAAGAGTGATGATCTTTCTAGTTTCTCTCTCTCTGTGAGTTTATATGATTCGGTTTGGTTCGATAAGTAAAATCAAAATGATCCTAACAGTTCTAATTTTATTAGAACTGATCGCCAAATCAATTCAAACCATTTGGATCGATTGGGATTTGTAGATTAGGTTTACGTAAAAAAAAAAATTACTCCCATTAAGGCATTAACTATGTTTAACCTAAATCAAGCTTTATTCAACCTAATAAATGTTACTTTTAGATGAATTTTCCTTTTTACCTACCCAAGCGGTGCAATTCTAGTTTCTAAAATTATCTAGTAGAAGGAAATAACGTAATATGTCAACAAGAAACAAAATAAATTTAATTAATATATTTTTGTAAATGGGAACTAAGATATTGGAAGTTTTATTAATATATTTTTGAAAATGTGATTATAGCTTATGTTAACATTATTAACCAATCAATCAAATAGTATTATATTGAATATTGATAAACGGTTATTCTAATTTTAGTAACTTTGTCCGAATTTAAGTAAAAACAGATTTATGGAGTTGAGAAGGCTGCCTCTGGTTTGAAGAGATTGCAGATTCTAGCTAGAAAAACAACTCCTGGTCTGGTATGAAAATTATAGCTTTAAAGAATCCAGTCAAGTCTTGGCTGAAAGCAACATAGAATTTCATTTTGTGCATTCCTTTTGTCTAGAAAATAATGTTATAGATTTGACTAGTAGTTGTGTCTACATTGTACAATAAACTTGAAGCTGTGGTGCTTTTTATTTTGTGCAGTTGTACTTTTGATTCTAGAAGAGTCTGGTATGTATTTTGAAAAGGAAGGGTCAGATACTTGATGTTTCCAAAGTTTGAAAAAGAAAATGTAAGACAGCCAATGAACATTTATGTTGACAATAGGGGTGATGAGTCGGAAAGGGACCATTTTGAAAGGTAACCGTAGAAGTCATGCAATCAGTTTGAGAATATGATGCCTCCATCCGAGTGGGGTTAGCTCATTTCGAATTAGAAATCAACGACTCCGACTTGTTAGGTTCACGAATACATTCATAAAACAAGTGTTAGTGAGGAAAACATTTTTTTTTTTTGTTGTCAATTATTTTACCTTGACAAGAAATCCATTTGAATCATCCACTTTTTACTTTGGAAGATGAGAAAATACCATTATGCTAGAACTTTTGATGAAAGTAAAAGAAGCTGTCAAGTCACTGCAATTTTTTCATTTATTGGTGCGTACAAGCATTTTTTTCTCATCAATTTTAGGCTTGCGTTTGAACTCAAGCTCGAAAATGGCTTGGACGAACTGAGCTGAAGAAGTAATATTTAAGTTGAACTTGGAGACTCATATCTGCTCCACAAGAAACTCGAGTTCGAAACTCAGTTTTGATTGCCGAGCTCGAGCTTGGACGGCCACAACTCACATGCTTTGCTTGGCTCAACTCGTTGCGAACTTATCATGTGATAGAGAGAAGCAATAAAACAATCAAGGAAGCAATAAGAGTGATGATCTTTCTAGTCTCTCTCTGTGAATTTATATGATTCGGTTTGGTGCCATGAGAAAAATCAAAATGATCCTAACAGTTCTAATTTTATTAGAACTGACCACGAAATCAATTCAAACCATTAAAAAACGATTTGGATCGATTGGGATTTGTAGATTAGGTTTACCAAAAAAATTTAGTCCCATTAAGGCATTAACTATTTTTAACCTAAATCAAGCTTTATTCAACCTAATTGATGTTACTTTTAGATGAATTTTCCTTTTTACCCACCCAAGTGGTCAACCTAATTGATGTTACTTTTAGATGAATTTTCCTTTTTACCCACCCAAGTGGTGCAATTATAGTTTCTAAAATAACGTAATATCTCAACAAGAAACAAAATAGATTTAATAAATTTATTTTTGTAAATGAGAACTAAGATATTGGAAGTTTTATTAATACATTTTTGTAAATGTGATTGTAGCTTATGTTAACATTATTAACCAATCAATCAAATAGTACCATGTTGACAAACGGAGCCTAAACAACATAGTTTTATTATTGGTCTTTACATGTGCACTCCTAATTCTCACTATAGCACAATCACGCATGTCGGAGGTGCTACCGTTCCATTTTGGCAGCGAATCGCATCCCAAATTTATGACACTTATTCAGTGGTTCCAAACCTAACAAATATAATTTTAGAAAGGAAAGAAATAAGAAAATAAAATAAAATAAGAAGAAACAAATAAATGAAAACCAATTTCGGTCATACTACTACTACTACTACTAATAAACAATCTAAAGCAAAGACAGTAAAATTGAAATAATAATACCTTCTCCCCCGTCAATCAGACTTGAAAATGAGTTCCTTCAAGCTATCAAAGGCTAGTGATGCAAAATCGAAGAATTGAAATACTCAATAAACAACTAATTAACCATGAAAATAGATTAAAGCTTCCCATGCCCACCGCATTTCATGGGGATATGTCAAAGTCGGTAGAACCAAATGAGTTGGAGCAATTAAAGGTACAAAAGGTGATATCATCATTATTTAAAACTCCAGTAATTGCTACTACCAAAACCTCCTTTTCCAAGAAGAAATGCAACAAATTAGGACACCAAACAAGAATTCTCCATGTGTAGCCTAATACAATACAATACATAGAAATTAGAATTCCTAAATAAAAAGTTGCCTCCACAGATGAAGGTGGCATTTATGTCAACTAATTGATAACTTGTTTATCCAAAAATTAAACTCCTTTTGGAATTAAAATAAGCTTTGTCCTGCCACTGAGACAAGAGAACCCCTCCTGCAACCAAAGGGAAAAATCAAGAAATCATTTGTATATAAGGGCATCACGTCCGGGCCCAATACCAATGTAATGGATTGGCACACCAACAAGTTCTTCTATCCTTTCAACATATTGACGCGCAGCCTTTGGAAGGTCGGAGTAGTTTCTGATCTTAGAAATATCGCACTGCCAACCGGGCAAAACTTCATATTCCACCTAAACATAAGTAACATAAAAATAAATTCAGAAGGTGTCAAGGGAACAACACAATTTCATTTTTCTTTTATTACGGTTGATGCCAGCATATGCATGAATTCATTTCATCGTATTGTTTGTATCCTTAACAATGGTTTTAGGAGTTCCAAATGCACAGAAAACAAGGAGATCAACTGGCATGCCCTAGGTGGCCTTTTTAGTTCAATATTCTAATCAGCGGGATAGCAGAAAAAAATTGAATTCCATCATGTATCCAAAGAAACAGCTAGTGGAAGCTTGCGAATAAGTCATAAAAAACCATCCAAATGAATGTTTAAGAAGAAAAAACTACTTGCCTTCAATTGCTCAAGTACACGAAGATCCGCAGGGAATGATCTGATTGGTGTATTGTCGAGCTGTTTGTAAGAAACACCTAACTGAATTTCAGGAAGATCCGACAAAACATCAAGTTTGGTGAGATTTAGAGAAGAAAACCCATTAATCAAACAGCAGTGTTTTAGAGCGACCACATCAAGCCAGCCGCAACGACGAGGACGGCCAGTAGTTGTGCCAAACTCCTGCCCAGCAAACCTAAGGAGGTCACCACCTTTACCCAAGATTTCGGTTGGGAAAGGACCTGAACCAACTCTTGTAGTATATGCTTTAACCTGCATTAAGAAAGTCTGTTAGGAACCAAAACTGGCAGGTAGTTGTGTCAAGCACGAAAATTGAATGCTTTTTATCATTGCATTTTCGTAATGTTCAAACACTCCCAGGAACTTGAGTTCCTTTTCCATAAAAGTGAAAGGGTACTGACTAACTAAGACAATCAGAAAGAAACCACATTATACAAAGAATGTTATTCTTAATATAATGTTATATTGCCCATCCTAGCAAATGTTTGTCTCTACAACTACTATGAAAAAGGTAAAGAACCCATCTCGCCTCCCCAACTCTGAAGAAGAAAAACTCTGAAGAAGAAAGAAAGAAAGAAATGGAAAAGTATCCACATACCACTCCAATAAGATCACCAATAACTCTAGGGGCAATGCCAAGACCAGTACAGATTCCCCCAGCTGATGGGCTAGAGGAAGTTACAAAAGGGTAAGTTCCAAAGTCAATATCCAACATGGTTGCCTGGCCACCTTCCACTAAAATTTTCTTCTTCTTTGCAATAGATTCATTCATGACATGCACAGTATCGGCAATGAAAGGTTCCAACCTTTCAGCAAATCTCTTGTATTTTTCAACTTCTTCCTTGAGCATATCTGGGCTATACTTAAACCCTTTGAATCTTGAAGCTGCATCTGACAATAAAAGATCAAGCTTCTGAGGAAAAGTGTCCATATGTCTCAGATCACATATTCTAATGCCGTTCCGGATGACCTTGCTCGAATAACAAGGTCCAATACCTCTCTTGGTAGTACCAATAAAGGAATTAGCAAGCTCTGCTTCTCTAAGCCCATCTACTATTTGATGGAAATCGAATAACAAGTGAGCACGGTCAGATACCAATATCCTTCCTTTGCAGGAGACCCCATTAGCTTCAAGGCCATCGATTTCTTTAAATAGACCCGGTAAATGCACCACAACTCCGTTACCAATAACACAAAGGGTTTCCTCATTGAGAATGCCTGATGGAACAAGGTGCAAGGCAAACTTCTTGCCCTCTGAATTGTAAATAGTGTGCCCAGCATTAGCTCCACCCTGTCGGTAAGAATATTGAAGATTTCGGACAGAAAATATTGCAACTCCCAGCAAATAAAAATTTTGTCATCAGGATCATGTAAAGCATGTTTAGTACAACCCAAAAAAAAGAGTATCTTTCACCAGCTATGTGGCTTGGTGTGCGTGTGCGTTTTTTTTTTTGGAGGGGGAGGTGGGGGAACAAAATGACGCTAAACTAGTTTCAAAATTTTCACCGGATGATGTACCCAGCTTGCAAAGTTTTGGTGCATCATGAACAGTCCCACAGTATATAACCTGATATGTTTATAAGTCAGTTGGCAAATATTTTTCTATGTTTTTAAAGAGTACAAGTAAGATCCTATGCTAATTCCTATCAACAATGCACATGCTACTTTTATTTCTTCATTGTTTTATTTATATAATACCTCCAACTACACAAACCCAAAAAAGAAACAGATTAGAATACACTAGAATAATACATTCTCGCATACAATGTCATGCCTCCGCCAATTCAACATTTCAAGTAAGTGTACATGGAAAAAATATAATTAAACAAAGATACATTTTTTTAATGCAAACAAATATGTATTTTTAACTATAACAATAGATATGTCTTTCATCAACACACAAGTGTCTGCAAGCACACAAAACCACCAAATTCAAAATAAATAGGGAATGAAACCTAACTATGTTCAGAATTTAGAATTTTGGAATAAAATAAACCATGAAAAAGGTAATATAGATCTTTACATGTAACAAATGTCTTAAAAGATAAAAAAGAAAAATAGGAAAAATTACAATTTGCGTCTTACTTTTGCATTATCAATGCATGCCCCACCTACCTAAGAAATTTTTTTTTTTTTTTGGGGGGGGGGGGGGTGAGTTCGAACTATGTAATTAAAGTTAGAAAAGTTTAAAAATATAGTTAAACGAGTCAAAGTTGTAAATTTACTAAATTTCAAGGAGACACAGACTAAAATTATTTTCAAATTCTCTATTTTGGGTCAATATACTAGTGTTTTGTGTTTTGAAAAAAATTGGGGGGCCAATTGAAATTTTTAATGAATTTTAGGGGCAATACCTACAAAGTAATTAATATTTAGGGGTATAATGGAATTTTTAAGAAAGTTTGGGGGGCATGGCCCCTGCTGGTCCACCCCTAGCTCCACCCCTGTACTAAGACGAAGACAGGAGACAGAATAACCTTTGGCATTAGTTTATGACAAAGTGGCTGTTTTCTCATACTCAAACTGAGACCTAATGCTTGACAGTCTGAGCTTTCAGATTACACTAACAATTGAATGTCAAGAAACTTACCAGCTTTCTTATTGCAAATGTTTCAGTTTCTTTACAGGAATTATTTCCACATTCTTATAACATATGATCATGTCATATCAAAATCGATGTTGATTTATCCCCCCATCATGAGTCAGTGTTGGCTTACAAATCAACTTTAATTTATTAAAGGAAAAACCTGATTACGTGGAGAAATTGAGTCAAAATTGAGTTCAAGAGGGAATTCAAACCAAACTAATGATTCACTAAACCAAACCGTGATATACAGTTTAACAGACTCATGTCCAACTCAAATAATTTCAATTTCAATTCTCTTCCTTAATTTTGTTATACATGGAGAATAAATATCCAACAATGGTAAATGCAATCCATATCATCCGTAAATCAGAATCGAAAAGAATTAATTTCAATCAAATACCCACTTTACAAGACCATGAGAAAGACACTATAGCTCTAATGCAATATGTGTTTCACACTGTATTTGTATGCATGTATGTATCAATATATACAATCCCTAAGATTTATATGTATATATATAAACCCTAGGATTTATCAAATATATCTATAAGCCCTAAGTAACCCATAAAAATGAAGCAGAGAACCGCATACCTGACAGCGTGCGACGATGTCGAAATGCTTGGCCAAGATATCGACAAGCTTTCCTTTGCCTTCGTCGCCCCACTGAGAACCCAAAACGCCTGAGACCTGACTCAGCGTCCCGATTCGAGTCAGTCCCGCGCTCGCCTGGTCGGCTACGGCGGACGACGACGACGAAGAAGAAGAAACGGACTTGACAGAGCACACGATGACCTTTCGTTGGTGAAAGGGAAGGTATGACCCACTACCACCACCGATTCCACAGCTCCTGTGGTTTCCGCCACTGAAACTCCTCTGTGGTGCCGTGATAGGGTTGGAGTCGAGTTTGAGAGACGAGAGGTTCATAGTGACTTTGCTGCTCCGACCAGAACAATGGAGAGAGAGAGAGAGAGAGAGAGAGAAAAGACAGAGAACTTTAGGGATGCAATACAGAAAAGGACCAGAGATTTAATTGTTGGTGACCTGTATAATTCTACCAGTAATTAGAAATGATCAAAATTTCTTAAAAAACTGTTTTTAGGTGTTATATGAAATAAATAACATTATTAAAAAATTAAATATAAAAATAATTTTTAATATAAAATTTTAATAATATTTAAGATTTTATTAATAGTTGATATAGAAATTTTAGAGTTTATTGATAAAAGAATTATTTTTATATATTTATAAAATTATATAATTTTATAAAAATTAAAAATATATTACTCCGTATAAAATAATTCTATAATTCTATGTATAGAATGATCACGTAGCCGACAAAGTTGAGGATTTTACTAGTAATTAAATATAGAATTTTTAATTTTTTAGGAATCTATCAATAACAAAATGTTACTTTGAATAAATTCTTCCAATTCAAGGGCATATATTTCAAACAAGTCCTTGAGCTTATTAAAATTATATATAAGATCTTAGACTTGTATTATACATATATGACCTTTTTGCAAAAAAATAGAAAAATAAAATAAAAATAGATTGGTCTGTCATCTTCAATTCGTCCAGTGTCCACTAAAACAATAAAGCATGGCAAACCATCACCACAAAACTATGCAACTTGTGGATAAATCTTATATTGAAGATCTCTAAAAAGTAACTTGTAAATACATCAGCATCAGCATATATATATATATATGTGTGTGTGTATAGATATATTGTAACAATGTAAACATCTATATGGGAGATGTACCATATTAACAATAAATTAATGAAAAAATTGCTGTCTCGGTTTTTTTTTTTTCCCGGATAAGTTCTTTCCAAGAATACACAATCTACTAAGAGCAACAAATTTGATCTTACATTTGTACTAATTTTCTAAAAGAAAAAAATACATGCTCGCATCTTTTTTTGGCCTCTGCAGGAAAATTGGCAACGGAATTATATATCAATAGGAACTGTGACTTTCAGTGTGGCTGGTTGCTGATGATGCACTCAGTCCAACTGTGCAACAAGTGTTTCAATCTAGGTCTCCTGCAAATGACAAACGCAGCTCGTGCTCAAGCTTCAAGGTGTATGCTTCTTTCTACCTCAAGAACCTCCAAATTATTACAATCTCAGGGAACTTGTTCCCTATTATATTCCATGCTTCAGTCTCAGTCGGTTCTTATCAAGCATCCTCGCGGTAACCCAAACTCCTTTTTCAGATGAGCAAGTTGCCTCCTCCAAGGGTCATTATGTAACTTGTAGTGTAACACCTTGTCAAGAAAAACACAATCCAAATTCATCAGCTAAGACTAGAAATATCAATCACTATAACTAAAACAAGAAGGAATGCACGCAGGTTTTCTGTGTCTATCACAAATCTCAGACATGGTATGCCGATGGACAGTTTTCAAGAGAATACCAGATGAAACAAATTCATTGTTTCACATAGCAGATAATTGCCATCTTTAACATCTCTGCACAATTGAGGAAGCAAAAGGATTTCAGGTAGATGAGACCGATAAAGTGTGCTTGTTATTGTTCGTTGCTCGTTGCACAAAAAGTCTTCCTTTCTTTGATTAATCAGTCACATAATACCAAAAAACTTAATGGCCACCATTATCCTTGCTTCACACCACATGAATAGGGTTGGTCGCATTAATTGTCTTTTTCCATTATTTTCCATTACATATTGGCCATCATATGACACTGTGATACTATAGTTTAATGTACGCAAATAACATCCAATGAGAGAACAGTATTTGCATTGCTCAATCCATTTCCATATGGTCCAAGGTTAGATAATAGGATCAATCATATTACAAAAACAGCAAAAGCATTTAATAAAACGAGTTATCTTGCACCAGGCAATGTCTCAATGTATCTTCACAGGCATCGCCTAAAGAGATAAGTTTAGAACTATACACGGACTGTGTAACAAAATGATATGTTGCAATACTGGCATAAATTGCACCCAACAATACTAGACTGTTAATATGCCCCAAAAAAAAAAAAAAAAACCAGAAAGAAGGAGCAAATGATGGGCGACAAATTTAAAACTTCTCAATATCCAGATTCTGTAAATAGGGTGGCATCACCAACTTCGTAGCAGACCATGTAATGTATATAAATTGTACATTTACTGCTACTTAAAAAGTGTAATTTCTAATAACTTTGTTCTTTCATGATCTTTGGGCTTACCACGGTTTTAGTTATTTCTACTTCTTCTTAAGGTAAAAATAGAGGCTTTGGTGACCAAATTCTAAAATTTCATACATTTTTGGGGAATAGCAAATCAACATGAAACTGCTCCTTTACCTGTATCAAGAAGGGAGAATTGCAAAGGAAATGGAAATTTCACATAATATATTTGCTCAAATAAATGAATAACAATGCAAAACCCGAGCCCAACCCAACAACTGACAGAAAAAATTAAAAGATGATGAAATCAGAAATGATTGACTGATTTTCGACCCTCCAGACATCCACTATGACATAAGCCGAAAGAAAATAAAAAATGTTGAGGTCAATTTATTGTTCCAATAGAACAACAAATTAACCTGGTACTTTGCACCAGATGCAACCAAGTGTATACCCTTATTATTCACCCAAACGCAAAAAACTACAGCCCGATTCACTGCACCCACAGACAAATTTATGTTTTTTCTATTATAATGGTTATATTATATTGTTTTAATAAGATTAGAGAAGGAGTCAATGTCAAATTGAAGGTCTCGAGGGGAGTCTAAAATTAGAAGGTTTTGGGATAAGTGGAAATAAAAAACAAAAATATGGAGCGTAACTTTAGTAAATCTAAAGATACAAACCAGAATGTAGTGAAGATTGAGGATCAAAAGGTACCAAAAAAAGAGTGAACATCTTCGTTATTTAGGCTTAATTATCCATAATGAAGGAGAAATTGGAGATGATGTTAATCATACAATCAAGGCAGGATGGGATAAATGGAGAAGTGCATGTAGTACATTTTGTGATGAACGATCTCGTTAAGATTGAAAGGGAAGTTCTATAGAACAATTATTAGACCAGTTTTACTCTTAAGGACAGAATGTTGGGCAGATAGGGAACAAATGTATAAAGTGAGTGTGGCGGACATGCAAATGTTGAGATGGATGTGCAGCAAAACAAGAAAGGATAAAAATTAGAAATGAACACAATCTTGAGATGGTTAAAGTATCGCCAATTGAAAATAAAATGATAATTAATCGGTTAAGATGGTTTGGACACGTGCACATGAGACCTTTAAGAGTGACATGATCCACACACAGGGTAATGCTAGTGGAAGAGCAAGACTAAAGTTGACGTGGGTAGAGATTCTAAGGAAGAATATGATAAGATGTGGTTTGATTGAGGCTATGGCCTTGCACAGAGCGGAAAAGAAGGATATGATTCATGTAGCCAACTCCAAGTAGTTGGAAAAAGGCTTTGTTTGTTGTTATTATAATCATTTTTCCTTAATTCCTAGGGATAACCCAGTGCTTATGCTCCATAAAGAACAAGTCTTGCAGGCATTTCAGGTAGCCCATTATTAGATCATAAAAATACACCCTGGCATTCCTTCATCTTAGCTTTGCCAAACTTCAGTCATGTGATGTGACAAAAATTTAACAGCATGCAATGCAGTTCCAGTTGGAATAATAAGAAATTGCAGCAGCTTTTTAGGCACAGGAGAGAGTATAACACCTGTATAAATGTGGCAAAGACATCATCATCACTTAATTGCAAGAACTTTACAGCCCAATCCTCTACCCGGCCAAATGCACTTTTTTGCCTCTCAGCCTCAAGTAATATAGAATCGCGATATAAAAACCGCTGCCAGATCTTGTGTACATTTGCCAACCTTAATTCAATTTCCGTCTCATTGAATCCCTTCAGGAAGCCAAACACATCAGTCATTCAACTCCTTCCAACTTCCAATAAAAGATGTCTAATCCCAATTGCATTAAGAGGAAGATAGTAGAAATTACCCTCAGAATTCTTATCATGTTCGAAATTTCATCTTCACGTATACGAACAGCAAAGCTTTCATAGTTGAGCACATTCTCATATGGCAGAAAGATCCCATCCTGAACATGGAAACCAAATTGTAGAAATATAAATGTGGGTTGTACTAATTAGAACATCACAGTGTGGATGCATTCATCTGAAATTTTCCTCTCAAATAACAAAAACTTGATGGTGCACATGGCTTGTCGGCAGTCCAGGCAATTACAAAAAATGATATCCTTCATCTCTAAAATGGCAGAAGGCCCCAAAATCAGTTTTAACCAAATTTCATCAGTAGTTAGTTGTAACATGCCCTCAGCAAGCCATAAACTGGCAAGAAGCTTAAAATCAATGATGGGCTTAATAAGAAACATTGTATTACTCGAGCTTGAATTTAGAAGAGAAACCAAAAAGAGAATCTAATAACCTGAATAACCACAGGAATGCAGCCTTGCAAAATACTATCTTCCATTCGACCACTCCACCCATCTCCGGGCATAACTCCACAGAAGATAGAAGTGGCCAAATCCTGGTGATAATTATCAGAACGTAGAGGAGTCACAATCACATCTTCTGCATGCTGTTTCCCAAGCTTCCCTTCCTTGTTTGGACTAGATGCAAACTCGTCTGCCACTTTCTGCCTGATACCCATACTATACCTGAATAATACAACAGATCTAACCAATAATATATCTTAAAAGCTTCCCATGTACAATATGTATATTTTAAGGTTACTTGGAAACTGGTATATGAACAACAAAAAATGAAACTGATTCAGAAAATGTTTGTTAAACAGAATTAAAACTTCAGAATATATCTCAAAATAACACCTTTTGACAAGAAGAGAGAAAACAGATGGGGGAAAATATGTCGAATATCATGACTACTCCAATATGAACAGTCCCGTGAATTTCAACATGATGGTCCAATCTTAAGAGTTTTCCAAATAGCACTTCATTTTACTTACGTGGCTTCTGGTCTTCCATTTTCAAAAGCTGGGCCTAGATTTCCATTGAAGTAAAATAGTATCTTCCGCTTCTCACGAGGCCTGCACACGTAATAATCAACAAATCCTATTGTTGGTAGCGTACATTAAAAAGGGGTCTGCTATGCACCCAAAAGCCAAAAAACTAGGGCAAAAACTTCAGTCAAACAATGTTTGCTTCGAAGAGACACATACGTAGCCCAAAGTTTTAAGCTTAAGGCATCTACATCAGGAACTTTCCATGCTGGAAGCACAAGATCTTTATCTGGGTCAAAGCATGGATGATTCCCTCTTCTGTCAGAAGGAATCCTATCCCAGTTGTCAGCCCAATATGCTGTTGTTGAGTGGTTATGCTTTGAATTTGTATTACCCCAGTGAACCAACATCATGCTGTTCCATATCTCCTTGGGGGCATAGCAAGCACCTTCATCCCATGAAAAGGACTGCCTTGAGATATAAAGGCAACATCCTTAGCAAATAATTATTAAACGTCCATACCATAAATAAAAGATAAGCATTATCTATCAGTAATTCTTTCCACACAAACAATATGTAAAGGTTTTCATCCATACCCAAATATGGTCTCTTCCTGATGAGCGGTTCCAGTACATATATTGCTCAACAATGTGATCATATGCCATCTTATAGAATTCCAGGGTAAGAGAACTCCTTAAGCCCCTGTGTTTCTGAAAATTAGTGGTACACACATTACAATGAAACACATGAATCCCACAACGCAAACAAATAGAGTTTAAGTTGAATGTACTGAAAGTGGAGAAGCATGAATTGAACATTTACAGAGTCAACTAAAAGAAGAAGAAGAATGAAATTGACAACAATAGAGAAAAAAAAAAATCAAATATGTGTAAAAATGTAAATAAATATATGACAAGACAAAACCAAGGCGTAACTCAAGTGGATCATATAATATGGGCATGTTGATCAGATGCACAAACATTCAAAAGTTGTTCAAATAATAAGGCTGGCCAAAATAAGAATGTTGCTATGGATGAGTGGCAATACAAAAAAGGGCAAATTACTCCAATTCCCCTGAGGTTTGTCCACATTACTCTTGGATTAAACTGTCTAAAAAATAACTCTGGCACCCCCTATCAGAGTTAAAAACAATAGGATGATTGACGCTAGCCGTAAATTTACTAAATTACCCCCAAATTTAATACAAAGTATAAGACATTCTGCTGATGTAAGCGAACCCAAGAATGAAATGACCAATTTTACCCTAAAAACTCTTTCTATTCCATCTTTCTCCTCCCTCCTTGTTTCTCTCTCTCGCCTCTTCCTAACATTCACAACCACCACCACCACCACCACCACAGCCTCAATCTCCAACACCACCGCCATGATTGCCACAACCACTGCCATCATGACCGCGAGAGCCATGGCCACAACCACCACAACAGTCACAGCCCCCCACCACATCCTTCTCCTTTGGAGCACCACTACAATAGCCCTAATCATTGTTAGTGTTTTCAAGGTCTGAAACCCACCACCATTTCACTCGCCATTTTTAGGGTTTTCAAGGTCCCCAATATAAAGAACCATTACATTCAATGCAAAAAATTTAAGAAACCGGACAACTGATGGAAATTTGAATTTTATTTTGGAGTGAAAGAATAATATCAGATTATAAATTATGATAACAAATTAAGAAGATAAACTAAGTGAGCGTGTAAGAGAGAGAGAGAGAGAGAGAGAGAGAGAGAAGATTAGAGAACTATAAAAAGGGAACCCTTTATTTAGTTCAGCATTTGAATTGCAATTCCTCAATAACTGTTTATCGCTGCCACCATTTTTACTGGGGAAAGCTTCCAGAACTCATCACTATTTTTAGTAGTTGGGGTAGATCAACAGAGGAGGCTATGGGGGATGCGGGTGCAACAACGACAATCTAATAAGAGGCGGGCTATTTGGTAGTGACGGAGATAGAAAATGATTTGAGAGGGGGTTGTTTTGAACAAAAATAAGGGAATTTTTTTAAAAAAACTTTAACTTAATAGATACGTTCATTTAATTACTCATACTTCCATTTCGATTATTTTTTTACCAAATACTCCAATTTTATTATCAAGTTAACATATTAAAAACTATTCAAATTAAAGAAATTCTAGCAGAAATCATGTTAATAGTATACTCATAAAATTTCTAATTTAAAAAGAAAAGTAGAAATTAGGAACTAAGAAATTTAATATTATCAAACTTAGATTTTTTTGGTAGACCAAGATGATAACTAAAGACAGCCTGGGAAAATTTCTGGTCAACCCATATTCAGAAAGCCGAGCATATTGTGAAGTTTAAAGAGAGAGATATAGAGGTAACGATTGAGGGGTATTTTGGGACAAGTATGTATAAGTGGTTTTGTTAAATTTTAGTGGGGGCATTATTAGAATTTTGACAGAATTTTAGGAATATAATAGAAAAAAAATTCAATGGGGGAGGCCGCCCATACATGGCTCTATGCCTTCTAGGTGGGTTGTTGGCAATGGAAAGGTGGGGTCACAATTATGGGGGCAAGGATGTACTCCGAGAGAGAGAGAAGCAGAAGTGGCGATGTGTGTGCAAATGTGTGTATGAGAGAGAGAGCTCGTTGTGGTGGTGAGTGAGAGAAGGGGGGGGGGGGGGGGGGGAGCAGTCATAAGAGAGATTTAGGTGGCGGAGGTGGCAAGAATAGGGGTTGGCGGAGGTGGCAAGAATAGGGGTTGGCGGTGGTGGAGGTGGCATGAGCATGACCTCCTGGTGGAGGATATATATATGACCTATTATATGTATTTATAGTAATAAGTGATTTGTGTCTTGAAATGGCGAGGTGTTTTTTTGTCCAAAATATAATAGTTTAAGTGGTTTTCATATGGTTAATAAGGTCAATTATTTTCATTTTGCTGCACGTAAGGGCATTTAGTATTTCATTTAATTTTAAACTGGGTTAGCGGTCAACTGACAGCAGAAGAGGTCAGAGTTATTTCAAACAAACCTCAAGGGAGGTTGATCACACTTTTTTCACTAGTTTAATCCGAGAGTAATTAGGACAAACCTAAGGGGAGGTTGAGATAATTTACCCTATAATAAAAGATAAAATAATACAATAATGTTGTTTTTGAGAAATTAAATATACCAATTGCCAACTGAAGACAAAATAAGGCACTGGTTTTTGTGATGGTTTAGTCATGTGAAGCAAAGACTAACTAAATGACCTAGTAAGGAGGAGTGAACTAACTCAAGTTTATATGACTGTGGAAGGCCAAAAGAAATGCTGGTTGAGGTGGTGATATATAAAACAGAATGGCAGAAGAAGGAACCATGCAGCCGATCCCAAGTGATGGTCCTATCGAGTTTAAGCAAAGATTAGTTGAGTCGAGTAGTGCTATTAGAGGTTTAAGAAGGAAGATAACTGTAGTTGGTAAGACAAGACTACAGCTTCATTTTTGATGACATGACATTTTATGGGTGATTCATTTGCAGAATACAAATTACAAGGATATGGAAATGTAATAATATGATATCTCTGAAAGCATCGTATTTAAAATGGTATAAGAAACCATTGCTCAAGTGCACTTCCATACCGCCATGCTCAAGTGGGGTGCATCATCCGCTCGAGTTATAATGCAGGCATCAAGAACTGGAACGAAGAAAAAGTCTGCTTCCTGACCATCTAATGTTCGATAAGGGCTAGCTAGGAGACTTTCGTAGAGTGCCATCTGTGAGTAAGGGGCATCACAAGATTACATAAATTATTAGCTAATTTTTATATTACTATTTAAATTGGTATTGATCTTGGTTGAAGTGATACCTGTGAACCATACAGCTGATCTGTCCACAATGTAGCATTCTTATCATCATAGATTCTGTTTACACACTCCAACTTGAAATGTCGTCCCTGCAATACCCAATAAAGTGATGAAAAAACCCAAAAAACTCACCCTTGGAATGTATCATGAATCACTATCAGTGTGCATTCTGACCTCAAGAAGAAGACTGTTGTACTCGGGGGGCAAATCATAAACATATATAAGGGGCCTTTTCTTTTCCACCACAGCATTGAGATTGAAAAGGTTCCCAGTGAGTTGTGCATTATCAGGAACATTAATCTGAGCTGGTCGAAGCCATCCAGGCCACTCTCTTATGGACGATAAAACAGATGGAATACTGCAATCTGTTCCATACCATCCATTGTCACACTGGAAAAGAAAAAAAAAAATACTAAATGGTTAGATGGTTGCAGTAAAGGAAAGAATGGTCTAGTATTGATAGATTCAACAACTCTCACAGTGTTTTCAAGCTGATTCAGTATACGGGAGTATAGTAATGAAATTCTCCACAACATCAAAAAATATCCTTCATCTACATATATAGGATCCTATCTATTGTTTACAAACAAACCATATATTATTTTTTAATTCAAGAACTATATAATAATTGCAGATATCATAAGTATCATGAAAAACTCCCGAATTATTGGTAGTTCTTTTTATAAGTAACCAATTTTGAAATTATTGTTGTGGATTGGCAAATAATTCCTATTTGATAAACATAACATTAGGCAATAATTTAGTGATTTTAAACTATATATTTATATAATTATAGGAATTTGAAATTTAGGATCTGAGGACTTTAAAAGAAGAGGTTCCAACAATTTATGGTCTTTGTAAGCATTTGTCCAACTTACGTTGGCATTCATAAAGATAATCATGGATAGTCAACAGGGATTTCTATGTTCTTTCTACAATTTTATGACAAGGCCTGGTATCTTTTTCCTTCTGGTCGATCTATACTAAAAAATTACAGTCTTATTATTACATTCAATATTCAGAGAAAACCTTGTGCTTTTCTCTTACTTATCCTCACTCTTGCAAAGTTCTATCAACAGATAGCATCATCATCTATTGGTAGAAAAATTATAATGGATGAAGAGATGGAAAGACTACTTAAGGATAGTTTATTTACTAATGTGACATCAAATGTTAGTTGTTAAATGATCACACACAGGAAGTGTGCATAAATCAACCTCAAAGTTATAGTTTTATAAGAGTCAAATAAGGCCAAACCAAGCATATATTGTCAAATTAGGTGTCAACATGCGGG